TAAATAATTTGAACAATCACATGTAGACAAATGATTGTTATCTTCCAACCTGAAACAGGCTTTGCCTTAAAGGGGCAGTGCACAGAGCAGGAAGGTACCAAGTACTTCCAGGAAAGCCGATGAAAGGGAACTATACTAGGAGGAAACAGTGCTCTGAAGTTTTCTTTTGCAATGCAGGAAAGAAATCAAATGCTAGATAAACTCCTTATCTAATAATATTATGCTTTTTTAAATGTAAAGCTCATTAAAAGTAAGGATTCCTTAAAACTTCACAACATAATAAAGGCTGTATCACATCTGTCTGAGACATTTCTAGGCGACAGCAGTATTTTCCAAACCTGCCTGTGTCTCAGTGTTACCATCTCATTCTTGCCTTTCACGCTCACCTCTGGAAACACACCAGTCTCTCACCCCAGCTCTTTATCCCCACTCACTTGTGCTCTCAGTGCAACCAATCATGCTTCAGCTTTGTCCTTCCCACTCAGCTGAGGCTGGTAAAGACTCAACTCTTACAGGAAAAGCTGAGAAGGCAGTGAATGCCTTGATTTACAATGGTGCAGGACTTGCCAACTTCAAATAATTCCACATGGCTGACTTTAAGTCACTACCTTGATGTCTCTGAAAGGTCATTCAGGCGCAAGGGCACACAAGGGACCCTGGAGCAAGTAGAAGCTCCAGCATCCTTCCTATGACCCCCTACTGAGACTCCCTCCCCAGTCACAGCGACCTCCTGAGGATAAATACAGTGGCTTCCCCACTGACCCTCAAGCAACCCTGGTTGCTCCCTTATCAATGGCCTGGCCTCCCATCTTTCTCTGGCAGTTATTTGGTGACCGATGCTACATGCCACTCCTGCCCACAGCTTGAGCGATGTTTCCAAGTTGCGTCCTTCTGAATTCTCATTCCTCAGCCTGCCACACATCCCACTGTCAAAGCCGTCTCAGCGTTAGCAAGACTGACCCTAGCATGGCGCTGCCCACCTTCCCCTTTCCTTTCCCAGCACACGGACCGCGGCTACAGTTCCCATCACATTATTTACACTAATTTTATATGTCTCTCTTCAGTCATCACTTGACATTATGACTGTGTCACTTCTCTCCTGAGCAAATGCCATAGTTTCCTGGGTGACATCTTTCTTATACCTTTCTTCTCCCCTACTCCAGTTCATCTTTCATCTGTTAAAATTGCGTTTTGTAGAACAATCCAGTCATGTCGTTTCCTAGTTTTTTACACTTTCCCAACAGACTAAAATATGACAGGCACAGGTCAACATTAACCGGTCTTCCTTGCCACACATTGCAGACAGTAACAGAGACAGGACATCAACATGAAGTTACCTATCTACTGCTTAGATTTTCCCCTTCCGAGCTCCACAGTCTTATCTGAAAAAAAGCCAAGCATATGAAAATAGATAGTACAGCATTCTATCAACTTCCTACTGCTGCCATCACAGATTACAACATAGAATCATTTACAGCAACACGCTTTATTCTCTTACAGTTGAGGATACCAGGAGTCTAAAACAAGTGAACAGGGCTGTCCTTGCAGGGATTACCTGGGAGAAACTATTTACCCGTAGTTTCCAGCTTCTAAGAGGCTGATCGAATTCCTAATCCTTCCACCCTCTGCTCCCTCTATTCTCATCTCTTTTTTTCTCTTGTTCTGCGAGCCCTTTTAAGGAAGGTTATGATTACACTGGTCCATCCGGATAACCCAGGAGCATCACCCTATTTTGATATCCTTAATTTAATCACACCTGCAAAATCCTTTTTGACAGGCGAGCAGCAGTCCTCAAGCTTTTTAGTATCAGGGACTAGTACTGTGAAAGATGATTTTTTTTCATAGACTCAGCAGCTAGGGATGGTTTCACGATGACAAGAAGAGCATGTGAAGAGCATGAAAAGAAGAGCATCCCTCTCATTTTCGATTCCCAGAAGGGTCTGTCTCCTATGAGAACAGCAGATCCTGCTAGTCTGACAGAAGGTGACACTTGGGCTGTAACATGATCACCAGGGAGGGGCTATAAGTACTGCTGAAGCTTTGGTGGTATGCCCCTCACCTCCCCGCTGTCTGGCCTCATTGGAGACCCCTGATGTGAGTAACACATACCAGGTTCTAGACATTAGGGTATGTTTCCCAGGGTGCCTATGGCAAGGGTTAGTTAACAGCTCCCTCTTATTGGCTCTAGGTCAACATATCTGGGTCCAAATCTAGATTTTATTAATGCCTAAAATATCTTAAGAAAATTATTTTTTTCTGAAACTTTATTTTCTTGTTAAATGTGGTTGTAGAAGTACAAATTTCACAAGGCTTTATGCAGACTAAATTAGTTTTTTTAAAACTTGTAACAAATCCAATACTGTTAGCAATATACACATAGAAGTAGTCTCCATCCAAATTGTATGTCTAACTAGAACAACATCTTGAAGGGCTTCTGAGCACATTAACAAAACCGATTTGCTCAGAATCTCAAGTTCGTATTTAGAAGGAATGTGTATGTACAAGGAATGTGTATGTACAACGTATGTACAAGGAATCATATTTCTTTTCCTGTATAATAATTCAATTTTCTCTAAGTTAACCAAAAAATTCATACAAATACATTTGATTTGTGAATCTACATTTCTTTTAAAAAAATTGGAGATTCTCAGAAGAATAATGAAATTTCTTGGGAATAGCTGAACATTACTAAGCTGGATGTATTCAAGGTAGTTGAAGCAGACAAACATGATGACTACACTGGAAAATTTGGAATGATGATCTTGGGTCATAATGGTTAATGACAAGAGTGGTATGATTCAGTGTGGAACAGACAGTTGCAGAGCAGGTACTTGAGGCAACATTTGCATGAGAGGTTGGTGGCCTCCAGCCAAGCCAGAGGCTCTGATGATCTTTTGTGAGAGTCTGTCTCGGGCAAGCATGTGTAAGAAGTCTTCTTTCATAACTTCCAGGCTTTCTCTATTAACATTTTTTTTAGGTTCCATTTGGTTCTGACAGCTTTCCCATTTTCTTTCAGAGTGATGATGTTTATTTCCCTTACTTGTAAGAAACTATGTTTTTTAGCCAGTATAGCTGAAGATGGTTTCGGAGATTTCCTTGAGATTCTAATACTTTCCTTCTATAAGTCCGTTCTTGACAGAAGTCTCACACGTTAGCAGTGGCCACTGTACTTGTACCTGGAATCTAATTCTCTTCTGGCATGGGCATTCGGTGCTTAACAAGTGCAGTGTTTATCAACTGACAACTATTGAGATTTGCTTTTTGTAGTGTGCTTCTCAAAATGCTGCTTAGGTACATCATTTATTCAACCAGAGCAGGACATGAGTACAAGATCTTTTATCTCTAATTTTCATCTGTGTGCTGCCAACCACAGGACTACAAACAACTGGATGCTAAGGGAAAATGGGAAGCTTTGGGAGAAGCATCTAGTTACTGCTCAGTGGGGAACTGGGTCTCCTCACTCCCCTCTGTTGCTCACTAGGAACACACCCCGAGCACTGTCCTCTCTTGATTGCTAGCTAATCCTGGCACCATGGTCAGGCACTGAAGCCTGTTAGGAGATAGGACCTATGTTCACAATGTTTTTCACTGCTTAGAAATCCCCGGGTTCAGTATTCAAGAACAAAACAAACAAACAATAACAAACTACAGCACCTCTATAGTTCTGACCGTTTCTTCTTAAACTCCTTGATCACTTTCTCTGTGTAAACCTTCTAATGTCTCCAGGGAGAACTTTTTTGCTTTCTCTTGATGCTGTACCTTTTCCGGTAGGGAACAAGAACACATTGAGTAGGTAGTGTCATGACATGTTTGCCAGACTCCCAGCCATCTGGAGCCTGGAAAAGCCCCAGGCACAGACCAATCTGTTTCACCTTTGTACTCTTAATATCTGGCCCAGGATATATCATTTAGATGAGCGCACTAAATGAGTGAATGAGTCGATGACTACAAGACTTAGAAATGAGATACATTAAAAGAAATATAAAAGGAAATAAATATGAAGAAAACATCGCACAAGGTACGAAATTTTATATGTTGCAGTGGTTTAATTTTTTTAAAAGTTAGTATCTGAACTTTTTGGAACGTTTTAAAAATTATTTTTCAAATTAAAGTACTATTAGTTTTATGAATTCACTTAATATGTATTGCAAATTAAACAGTATATAAAATAATACCATTGTTCATATATATAACATTACTCCTAATGTACATTAAAGCTTCTTGAAATGTTAACACAACATTTAAGATTCTGCAGCTTAAAACTAAGAATATAGTGGAAAACACTGTACTTTGTGTCCTGGAGAAACTAACCATTGTATTTACCATAACTTTGTATGGCACAGCTTTATAACATCTATTAATTGTTATTATCAATTAATTACTGAAACAAAGTTGAAAACAGTGTGTTCTGTAGAAAACAGAATCTTTTGTTAAGGGCTGTTTGTATTTTTTGAGTTTTTACTTCTTAAATCATGTCATATTATGAAAGTCAAATGGTAAGAAAAAATAAACAGAGCATGTAATTTTGCATGAATGTATTTCAACATGAGCAAATAAGTACTCAAATACCAGGGGACCGCAGACATGACCCCGGAAGAAGCCCGATCATTCAGCCCGTTGATGGTTAGCAACTCGCAAGGCGCAGGTGCAGAAAACCGGAAACCGCTCCTTTATCCGCACAGTCACCAAGAATGTCTTAAACAGCCTAATTAAGCAACTATTGGTAAAAGAGCGAAATTTTTACAAAGGAGTGTTGCAAATGTTATTAAACAGCATTGTTGGTTAAACTTTAACATTGTTCGCATAATTTTAACATTTAAAATTTTACACATTGCATTTTACCACACTTATTAAAATCTCCATTTCGGTGTGACTGGCACCTGACTGTTCTGTGGCCCAGTAAAACATTAACGCTGGGCGGAGACACAAAGCCCAGCGCAGGCCAGTCAGCAGCCAGTGACTCCAGCAGGAACACACGGGGTTAAATGAAAGGGAGTTGTGAAGGAGTGCCTGTGCCAGTGCAACGGGAGTGGCTCCGGCTCCTCTCAGCAGCACGCGGCCTGACTAATGGACTGAATGTATGACTTATTGGCTGACGGACGGACGGACTCACAAACTGAATGACTGATTGACGGACTGAAGGACTGATGGACAAAGACAGACTGACTGAGTGACAGACTCACTGACGACTGAAGCCTGACCGATGGACTGATAGACTGATGGACCGAGGGACTGATGGACGGACTGACTCACGACTGAAGGACTGACGGACGGACTGACGGACTGACAGACGGTGTGAAGCACCGTGGTCTCCCGGACACACATCCGGGACACTGCGCCCGGAGGCCGGCTCCGCGGGACACAGCGCGCTCCCAGCATCCCCCTGGATCTCTCCCGCAGACCGCTGGCACTAGTGTCTTCTCTTCTTCAGAAGACAGGGAAGATTCGCAAGGGTCTGTGGCACCCTGGGGTGCAGCTAAGACCCGGGATTCTATGCCGCGTAACGCTGCCAGAGGTACAGACTTTAGCACCGGCTCCGCCCCCTTCACCAGTGGAGCCGCCGGGCCCTCCCTGCCCGGGAGCCAGGGGCGGGCCTTGTTGCCTCGGCAACACCACAAGCGCACAGGCGCCAGTGGGTGACGTCACTTCCTCATTTAGGTGGTTGTCCAGGCGACGCGTTCCCCAAGGGTAGTTTTGGGTACCCAAGAGACAGGGCGGTACGGAAGTCACTTCCTCCCCAGACGCTGTTGCCTAGCAACCGCCTCCCACCTCCGCCTTTGGTCCCGCCCCCGACCGTGCTGAGTGCGGGTTCCGGAGCGCGGCCGGCCGGGGTTGAGACCCCGTGCGGCTTCGGGGTCCGGGCGCCCGCGGCTGCAGAACTTGGGTAGGCGCAGAGCCTGGAGCTGCGAGGACTGAGGACGACGCCTCGCGTCCGGGTTTGGCTTCCTGCACCGGGAAGGCGAGCTCAGCATAGCGCATCCGGAAGCTCCTGCATCCGGCCTGGTTAACAGCCTTAGGAGAAGGGGCTCAGCGAACGGTCGCCGGCCCTTGACTGGAGCCCTATGCGGGCAGCGTGCAGTCGTCGGGGTGCGGGGCGCTCAGAACCTTTACCCAGCGGTCCTCTTCGGGCCTTTGAAGTGCAGAGTGGCTTTTCTGTTAGCTGTGCTATACTTTTGGGGGCGAGACAGGTGAACAATGCGGTGCTCTCTATACATTGGCACTTTGTCCGCTCATTGCGTGCTTTTATTTGCACATCCTTAAAATAGTGCCAAAGCTATTTTAGGATAACGTCCATTTGCATCTGCATTTTTTATGCCTTATTTTTTTTACAAGAACTATATTTAGGTTCTTAGAGGAAGATGTAGCAGTGTCCATGAGACGTTTTTGTTTCATCCCCCTCCCCCGTTTTGGCGCTAAGTGTACTAATAGAAATTTTCAAGCATGCAAAGGAAGTCTGATGATATGTTTTTCGTCTGTTTCAGCCAGCATCACAGGTTGAATGAATTTCTGCAACTACTTATTAACTATTTAATAGAGGTAGAGGGGAAAATACACTATGGCTGACGAAATTTTCAGCACAACTTTGGCATATACGAAGAGTCCAAAAGTTACCAAAAGAACTACTTTCCAGGTAAAATACTGTAATAGCATTTTTTTGAATGATTCTACAATGTAAATTCTGTATTAGTGTCTTAGTAATTTTCTCGTTGAGACAAAGTAACTGGTGCCCAAAGACAAAGGGTTTTGTCTTACAGTTTGTATAGGTTTTAGTCCATAGGCAATGGGCTGTAAGACAGGTTGGCACTGTTGAAGAAAAACTTTATGGCAGGCAGAAGGTTGTAAAGCAGCCAGGGACAACCACAGGTATTTTTATGTTTTAGAATTTATTTAAACTATTTAGGGTGGGTAGCACTCACACCCTTAATCCTAGTACCCTGAGCCTAGTATTGTATCATAAATGTTTTAGCGTTTTGTACTGTAGGTCCAGCCTCCTCTGAAAAAGCCCCACCTATGACTGCTTGACCTCTGCACCCCGCAAAGACGCATGAACATTTCTTTATGTAAAAGGCATTTAGTCTAAGAGTTGCCAAAGTCTTTAGCAGTTTCAGCATTCCTGAAAAGTCTAAGTTTAAAGTCTCTTCTGAAATTTACAGCCCCTGTATAAATGAAAAGAAAGTTAAACACTTTTAACATTTAATGGCACAAGGTAGACATTTGTATTCTAAAGATATAGTTAGGGAAAAATAAATAAAGACAAAATTAGGGAAATAGAAAGGAATGGAACCAAACCAGGTCTAAAATTTAGCAAGGCAGACATTAAGTCTTGCAGTTTTATGCCTAGCATATCAGGCAATCTGTGGCAAGTGGTGAACTCTTAAAAGGGTTTGGAGGTTGTAGCTCTCAAGACTTTTGTCTGGGGCCAGCTTTTTTCTCTTTGTAGTTTTTTCAAGATAATCTATATTTTTGGCCTTTTTAAACTTCTAGAGTCTACTGTACCTTTGGCTTCATACTCAAAGCTTTATACAGTGTTCTCTCAGGGAAATACTGCTTGGCATCCCAAGCATTTTTTTTTTTTTTTTAAATTTGGGTGGAGGCCTTTCTGACCCTATATGCACCTAAAACCAGTACCATGTAAATGACACCAAAGTCTGTTGCCAACTGGAGCAGTAGCCAGGCTCTTTTTGTTTTTTGGGAGTTTGGAGATATAGGAGTCAAGTACCTATGAACTGAATTTTGAGGAATAATTCTTTAGGCTGTGGCCATTCTAGAACATGGTACTCTGGGGGTTTCCTTGTAAAGGAAAGTCTTTCACTTTTGCAATTTTGAGCCTGAAAAGGGTAGAGTCCTGTTGCTTCTTGTGATGTCCTCAGGCCATCTTTTCTATTGTGTTCCTTCTCAGCAATCAGGATTTCCTCTGCTGTATCTTTGTAATCCATAGCCTTACTGGAGCTTCCTTTCTGGCCAAACTCTAAATGTTTTAAATCATTCTGCTGGGCTCTTTTCTTTTGATCACAACATAAATCTGGCTAAAAGCTCCCAGCACAGCAATACCACTGCCTCAACATTCAACTGCCTTGAAATTTCTTCTGCCAGATCAGTCTACTGCCTTTTGTCTCAGTTTGAGGCAAAATCTCTAGACAGAAGCAAAATATAGACAAACTTTCTTCCAAGCTATAATGCACATCATCTGCAATCTAAAAGCCAGTCCTTTTTCCCAGCAGAAACCTCCAGAGCCTGGTCTTTACCAGCAGGATTTCTATCAGTGTTCTGGTCTTCTGAGCTCTGACCAGATTCTCCCATCATGAACAGCCTCAGGCATTGTAGCTCTACTCTTTGAGCTGGCATCTCCGACTCTTTCCTCACTCTACCCTTCTGGCAAACTAGTTTTAAAGACCCTTGAGCCTCATGACCAGGTAATGTCATAGCAGTGACCCCATTTCTGGAACCAGGTTTCTGTTTTAGTTACTCTTCTATCATTGCTGAGATAAAAATGTGTGACACCCAAAGTTTAGGGGAAATGGTTTTTTAGCTCACGGTTTTAAAGTTTTTAGTCTGTATGATCAGCTGACTCTTAGCCCCAGTGGCATTGCAGAGGAGAAACAATTTATGGCCAGCAGAAGGTAGTAAAGCAACAAGGAATAGCCACATCTCTTTTTTATTTAGGGTGGATAGCACTCATACCCTTAATTTTAGTGCCCTTCAACCTGGCATCGCACCATGAATCAGTCCCAGCATCACACACTCTAGATCCAGCCACCTCTGAAAAAGCCCGACTTGTGACTGCAGGAAACTTTGTGGGAATATCTAGACACAAGCCATCACAACTAGGAACTTGGGACTTGGTGATTCCTTAAGGGTTCCTATGTAAAGGTGAAGTAACCTTACATTCCTTTTGAGGATTTGCAAATGATCCCTCTTGTTTGGGCTCCAAGATTACAAATCCTTCTTTATGGTTTTCAGGCTACCAAATTAGCCTGCATACAAAGTTCTTAGTAAGTTAAAAGTTAAAGAGCAGCGTAAAGCAGGGCTTAGTGGCGCCTGCCATAATGCTAATGCTCTGAGAAGCTGAAGTAGGAGGATTATATGTTTGAGTCCAGCCTGGGCAGTTTAGTGACTTAGCAAGACTCCATCTCAATAACTTAAGAAAAGAAAAAGTGAGAGAGGGATGTAGCTCAGCATACAGACCCCAGGTATAGTACCCAATACTATGTACTTACACCTGAACACATAAAAGCAGTTTGAAATTGCCATCATCATATAAGAAGCATTTTCTACTGTACCAAAATAATGTTTAAGTCTTCTTCTGTTGGTATACAATTTTTGAACCCAGCCTCTAAATTTCCATTATTGATGAAAATAATGCAATATGCTTAAGAAATACTAGCTTTGGGCTGGGAACATAGCTCAATGTTGGAATTTGTACTTGGCATGTAGGGAGCCCCACTTCAGTCCCCCACACCCTTACTCAGAGCTCCAGTTTCTTCCAAAATGTTTGTAATAAGTATTTTCGATTGTATCCTCCACATTTGTTACCCTTTACTTCTAATGCTAACCTGCATTTAATACCTGGATACTGACCATCTTCTGCAGTTGAACTGCAGGCCCCTTGAGAAGGGGCCTCGCGGTGACATTCTGCGTCACATTTAATGCCTCAGATGCGTGGTGCAGAGCAGGTGTGGGATTGCCTGTCAGACAGATGAAAGTTTGCAGGCACTTAATAATGAAGTTTTTTTAAAGAATTAATTCTAAACATGAGATCCCTGTTTGCACGGGGATTGATTTTAGTTCTGTCATTTCAGGATGAGCTGATAAGAGCAATCATAGCCCGCTCGGCCAGGCAGAGGAGTTCCGAATACTCAGATGACTTCGAGAGTGATGTTGGTATGTGAGAATGTGGAAAAGTAAATCTCTGGTCATGGTTGTAAATGGGTTTATAGTTCTTTCTAGACTTTAAAATTGATGTAATCTTAAAAGTTTAAAATAAAGTATTGAATATTTTTCCCTACCCATTTTTCAGTTTCCTTAGGTGATCTATCTGATACCTCAGTAGATGAAAATTCAGTTAAGAAAAAAATAAATGATTTTCATATATCAGATGATGAAGAAAAGAATTCTCCACGACCATCTTTTTTGAAAGCCAAGAAATCAAACGGTGACATAAGAGATGAGCCAGAAGTTGCTGTCAAAAACTGTGAAGAAAGGGCACCTGATGTTTGTGAGAATACGGTTGCAGGTTCCTTCTCTGAAATTCAAAATAATGATCTAGAAGTCGAAAAAGAGAGAATTAAAATAAAACCGAAACCCAGAGTTCTTTCAGTCAAAAGCACCTCTTCAGGTAATTGGTTAGATAATATAACATTTCTTGAAAATGTATTTTCAAATAATTATCCCCAAAACACCTCTGGATGGTATCTACTGTGTATCCAAGAAAAGATTTGCCTTTTCAGTTCTGCGGACAGAGGGCAGCAAAGCTGCAGAGAAAGCCCAGGTCTAATGTCCCCTTAACCAGTTCAGCCAGGGGTCTGCGTGGATTTGCTGTGGGGAAGTGGTAGCCTTCAGCCGTGGGTTGCAGAGCTCCAGAACATCCCAGCGCAGGAGCTGAAATTGTTTCTAGAGCGGGAGCTGCAGTGGAGTCCTGTCTAGTGCCTTCATGCTGGAGAGAGTAAAATAGTCATTTCTAGGGCTTAAGTTGTGGCTGAAGGGCTGGAGAGCTTCCAGCAAGCTGGAGTCCCCAGGTTCACTCCTGAGCGATGCACACACCCTCAGAAGCCCAGCATTTACTTCCAGACCAATCCTTCGCCTCTGTGCATTTGAAGGGAGCCAGTTTTGTTGCTGTTGTTGCTTATTGACACTTCTAGGCTCTTTTTTGAAAAGTAGTCTTCTACTGCATGGGGAAATCTGCTAAAGTTTGATTTTCTCAGGGCAAATGCCTGATGTGATCAAGGATTACGAGAACTATCCCCACTGTTCCTCTGGACTCCTGGTGAAAGTGGGCTAGAGCACTGGGACCAAGTGGGCTTGGACCAAGCCTCTGCTGGGGACATGCACAGCCTTGTGCGTGCAAGGTGAAGGCCTTGGTGTGTCCCATCCACTTTCTTTCTGGTTTTTAAGGAAATAGTAGTTGGTGCTAACCTCCATAAAATTTCTCTATATTATCAGAAAATACTAGAAGTTTACAGTTTTCATGTTGGATGTCAATATCAAAGAGAACCACTCGAAGGATGTGTCAAAACAAATGCTAGAATAATGTCTAACGTATCAGGAAAACCTCCACCACTACCATTTATGTGCAATTTTGACAAATAGGTTAACCCTGAGGCGGAGGCTAAACCCACTCCACTCTTCCTGCCTTGTCAGGTGGCTTGGAGGATTTATGGAAGTTCGTCTCCATGGCTGTGAAACACTGCCAAACACGAGCACAAAACAGTGCGGCACGGCTCCACATACTTCGAATGCAGTGAGTGGGGCTCCACGCAGAATAAAGAGTGATACCGCGCTTGGTTACTAGGAAAATACCAGCATAGAGCAGCTAAAAATTGACCTGAAACAGGAAACACTATGCAAGTAGAAATTTATGGTAGATAATTAGCCAAATAATAATCCACTTATGAACCCCCCAAAAAATTACAGTGAATTAAAATGAATGAAGAAAATACTGTGTTTTAACCACAAGGTGGCAGAAAGACACCAAGTGCTCTACTTGGGTATCTAATGTCTTTGGTGTAGGAAATGTAAAAATGAATAGGTAGTCTTATACACTTAAATATAAAACAGCTTTTTAAAAATGCATAGACTTTTCTGAGCATTTGATGATACTTCTGGAAGGAGAGTTTGGGTATGAAATACGTGAAGGTCATTCTCAGGTTCTTCAGGTTGGGGAGAAACGCTGAGGCTGGTGGTCTTCAGATGGAACTTGGCATCTGGAATTTGTTAAGTACCTAAATGAATAAGTGAATCTGTGAATGAGTCATTGATGAAGGAGGGAATGTGGTTTATGAGCCAGCCTCGTCTTTCTCAAAATTCCTAGAACTGAGTATTTTTAATGCAGTGATGCACTGCTAGGTAGCAAATAAAGCTTTATAAAAGTATTATTTTACCTTAAATGTTTTCTCTGTTCCTGCTTGTCTTTTATAAAAAAGTTCAACAAGATTCTCATTTTCTAGAACAACCATCATATGACTGTAGAACATACTTTATGGAATAACAACTGTGAAAATGCTTTACTTATTATGTTTCGTTTTTTGGTGGCGGGATTTCACCTGGGGTCTCCTGCATGCTCTCTCACCGAGGCTTACCCCTGCCCTCACTGAAATTTTAATAACTGCTGGGGCATCTTCCGAACTCGAGGAGTGATAACTCCCTAGTCGCGTGTCTCCTCCCACAAGCCAGTGTGGTCCTCTTCATACTGACAGCAGCACTTACCTCTCACAAGTTTGTGTGTCATCTCCCTTCCTGGAGCAGGACCACTGTCACACTGTAATTTGGAGACCACTAGTGTTTCCAGGGCCTGGTGTTGGGGACTCAATCAAGGTGTGTTGCATGGATCTCCTCATTTTATAGAGGCAAGGTTGGGCTTCATTTTATGTTTTAAAAAATGCTATGAAAACTCTGAGAGTTCATAAAGTTAGAGAAATAACTTCAAATAAAACCAGTATATACTGACTGCTTTCACGGTGGCAGCACCCTTTTTAAAAGTTGGAGTGTGAACCATCCCTTGCTTGTGCCGTGCTAGGTCTTGTAGATCATGGTTGTGGCTTAATCTGGTCCTCTAGGGCCAAGGACCAAGACTAGTGAACCCTGTTATGGCAGGGTAGGCCAGCGTCTGTTTTTTGTAAAAATCAGCTTAAAGTATTTGTGTATGTTTGTTTGCAGCAGAAACTAGCAGCAGTCTTGAAGCAGACAGACACTTTAGGCCTTCACCTCGGCCAAGAAGTTTGTTAAGAAAGAGCAGCCACGTAGAGGAGAAGGAAGAATCAGGAGAAGAGAAGGAAACTGCCCTCCGTGAGGACGTGGATCATGCACCTTCCTCCCTTCCCGAGCTGGGTGTCAGACAGCTGGAAGCTGAGAAAGACACATCCTCTGCAGACCTTGGTCTTGAGGTGGGCTGTTGCCAAGTTGTTGAATTGTGATCTTAAATTCAGGCCTCTGTATTCCAGTGAGTCTAAAATGCCATCAGTTGTGAATTTTAGCATATTGTAAGTACCACGTAGCTGGTACCATGTCAGCTGTTACCTACCAGTAATTGCAAGTCTCACCCACTTTCAGCAGAAGTTAAATGTCAAAATTATTTTTGTACTTCTGGATCTAAATCATACTGCCTTATATTTTTATGTATTTTATTTTTATGTATTTTAGAATTATACACTTTCTGGCTAAGGAAAATATAGTTACTGTCACTGATTTGATTCAGTCCACTCACCAAATGTGTATTGAGCATTCCTGGCCCCCCTTTTTCTGTGGGGTGTGCCACAGTGGGGTGAAATGTGACCCTCCATATTTTTCATCAGTTGCATTTGTCTCTTGTCTCTGTGTAGGAAGCAAACTCCCACCTCGCATTGTAGAAGGAAAAGTGGGGAAGACTGTCCTTCCCTTACAATGTGCTTGGGAGCAGAAACTCCGCACCTCCTATGCAAGCTTCTCTAGTTTTCTCTGTGTGTGTAAAATGTGCTCCCCAGAGGTGACACAGAAGGACAGAAGGGAGCTGCTCTGTACTGACTGAGCGAATGACACCTTCCACTTCAGACCTGCAGTGTCAGCAAGCACGACAGGCCAGTGATTCAAATCCCGTTCTGTAGTCCATCTGCACCAGTAAAGCTGACAATCTGATGTGTATCTGACCCCTCTGTGCTAGTTCTTAATTTGTTCTGGAAAGCCAAAAAAAGGGACCAAGGCCATTATTTTATATTCAGTGTACTTATCTGGTCAGTTGAATATTATGTTAGTTTCCTGCAGCTGCTGCAGCCAGTTGCCACAAACCAGGAGACCTCCCACAACAAAAATTGATTCCTTAGCTGTGAACACCGGAAGTCCTAAGTCAGGCCTCAGATCTGCAGGGTTGTGTTCCCTCAAAAGTCTTCAGGGAAGAATCTCCTTCACTTTGAGAGGTTGCAGCAAATCTTGGCATCATCCCCTGGCTTCCAGCTGCATCCTCCAATCCATGCCTTCATCGCCCCTTGAGCTTCGTGTTTCTTTGGTGCCTCTTTCTCTAAAAACAATGCTGTTAGATTCAGAATCTGTCCTCATCCATGCCTTCGTCTTAACAAATTATCTCTGTAAACACTTTTCTCCAAATAAGATGCCCCTTAGTTTGGGGGAACACTATCAAACAGGAATAGAAACCTAACCTTAAGTACTACTTTCTAGCATTTTTATGTTCTTTCTTTCAAAAACTATTCCCAATTTTTTAAAAAAATGACATCATTCCATGACAAAGATTTAATAAAAGCACAGCTAACCACAGTCAGTCCTGCCTCCTAACAGGAAGTCTGCTGTGCTATTTGAAACCTTTTCCTGCATGGTATCACCATGCTTGTCTGTTCACATTCAGGTTTTTGGTTGTGCTCTCGCTTTGTCTCCTAGCAGTAGGTTGTGAAGTGTTTCCATGTCACTGGGGCATCTGGAGACTACATGCACGTGAATGTCTGTATCACCACCCGGGATGTAGCTCTGTTATCTTAATTCTGGAAACTTCTGTTTCAACCATCTAAATATTCTATAGTCTTCATTATACAAGTCTTCTTTATGGCCCGTCCTCAGAATCTTCCTTAAATCTTCTATCTCTGGGATTGCCCATCCAGCTTCTGTTCTCTTCTGGGTTATGAGCTTTGGCTCTCACTGGTCTGTCCCGTCTTTATTCAGCCGTGCTCTCCTGACTCTGCACCTCCTCTTACTGCCTTGCAGCCCATCAGACACCTCTCTGTCCGCCTAACAAAATACCCAAGATAATCATCTTAGAAGGAAGAAACTGTTATTTCCACTTGTGGTCTTGAGGTTCCTATCTGTGCTTCCTTAGCCCTTTTGCTAAATTGTGGGAGGGTGTGGTGGAGGAGGACTGCTTACCTCGTGATGGCCTGGAAGCAAAGAGAGAGAAAGGAGGGTGCCGAGGTATCACTGCTCCCTCCAAGGGCAAGCCTGCCTTCATCCCACTAGGCCGGTGTCATGGCAAACACCATGGGCAGGGCAGCCTTTACCTCATGGCCCTTTGGGCTCATTTAAGGTCCAAGCCATAGCACCGTCCTGCAAAGCCAGCTACAGAGAGGATGAGTTGCAGTCCTTCCTCCTGCCTCTCAGCTCACCTCTGAGCATGGGATGGGACTTGTGTATATGACTGATGCATAAATTAACCTGACCTAGTATTACTAAGATAAATTCTGCTTGAGCAAGACAAATTGGGATTCAGTTTGGTAATTTTTTTAAGACTTCTGGGTATATACTTATGAAGGCTGTTTTTCCTGAAAATGTTATCATCAAACATGTACAGATGAGTTAGAGAATATGCTTTCTTCTTTATTTTATGAAAGGAAAATATGTCATTAAAAGTTCATCACATATTCCTTAAAAGAGAAGAATCACCTGTGAAATTCTCCAGGCTTGAAATTTCTAGATATTTTTGATACTCAGATTTTCTTTTCATCCATTTGATAATTTGTGTTTTAGAACTTTGTTCATTTCATCAAAGAAGTCAAATTTATTAAACAGTGTTGTGTGCTAGGGATCTAGCTCAGCATCACAGGACCTGCTTGGCAAATGTGAGGTCCTAAGTTCAATTTCTGGTACAAAAAAAAAAAAAAAAAAAACCACTGTTGTTCATGATATTCCCCCAACCTTTTGATGACCATAAAATTATCATAACATGATTTCCTTTATCTCTAATACATATAATTTGCTTTTTGTCTTTTTTATTCAATCTTGATAGGTGCCACTTAGTTTCTTAAACTTTTCAAAAGTGTAACTTTGGCTTTGCTAATTTTTCTTCTATTATTTGTGTGTAGTATCACTAATTTCAATGTTTATTATTTCCTTTTACTTTCTTGGGATTTGATTTGCTTATCTTTAAGTTGAAAATTTTCACTTTGATTGTGAGTCTTTTTTCCTCTATTAAAACTGTGAAAGCTATACACTTCCTTCTCTGGTCTGTTACAAGCCCCAAGTTTTAAATGCCTTTAATAATCATGATCATTTCTTTAATTACATTTTCCAATTTACTATGTATTCCCTTTTTTTTTGACCAATTGGTTATTTTGTGATAATGAAATGTAATTACAATGTTTGAGTCTTCTCTAGATTTACTTTTACTATTGATTATAATTTAGTTTTATCATAGTCCAAGAAATACTTATGATTTCAGATTTTTAAGAATACTTAGTGTGACCTGTGAAAGCTCCATTTGCCCAGGCAAAGTACACTTGTTCTTCTGTATACTTGCCATTTCACTCGCCTTGTCAGGGCAGTTATGGTATTAGACACATCTTCTCCAGCCTTACTGATGTTTTGGAGTTGGTTTATCAGCTGTCAACTTAGGAAAGTTAAAATATTCAGTTAAGTCTGGAGTTTTGTTTGTAATTCCTTTTAGTTCTATCAATCTTTTATAGCTTTGTTGCTAGGCACATACACGTATATTATTATTATTATTACTGTCTTTTAGCAATGAAAAATATCTGACCTTCTGTTTGTATTTATTTTGCAGTTCATTTTATTTGATACTTCATCTAGCCTAGGACTAGTGTTTACATAATATATATTCTATCTTTTTCCTTTCAAACAACTTAGGTCTTTGCCTTTAAATGAATTAATTCCATATGGCAACAGTTTTGTGTCCCTTTTAATCAAATCTGATAATTCACCCTTTGTAATTCTGGTGTGTAATCCACTTATGATTGATTGACTTGTGCTGCTCATCCCAAGGATGCTCCTCTGCTTCCCCAGGTCATTTTTAAATTTTTTTATTTTGAGACACAGTCTCAATAACTTTCCTGAACCTTGTAATCCCCTCTGCCTCAGCCTCCTGAAGGTGAAATTATGCATATGAGCTACTGTACCTGGTTGGATTTTCTTTTAATGTAAATACTTTGACATTCATTGGCTGTTTGTTTTCTGTTTTATCTCCTTCGTTGTACTGTTCCATTGTTACTTCATTCCTGCCCTTTTTTTTGAGATTAATTATTTGTATTTTACATTTTCATTTTGATTTCATTATTGATTTTTTTTAACTCTCAGTGTTTCCATTATATTTTTAATACTTGTTCTGTGGGTTACAACATTGCATCTATAAAAGATCACAGTTGAGTTGTGCTTTTTGTATTTTACATTTAGCAATAAATTCTTGCAGCAGTTTAGTTGCCTATACTCCTTCATTTATTGTAATATCATTGTCATATATTTTTGGTGTGCTTAGGATATAATCCCCACAAATATAGTATTATAATTTTTCTTTAAAGAGTTTTTTAACTCTTTGTCTAAGATTTTAAAGAATTAAAAAATTATATTTTTCTTAAAGATACATGTGTACAGTATCCTTCCTGTAGATGATTTTGTCCCTTCAGATTTTTTTCTTGTCTGTTTGTTTGTTTTTTTGTCTTCATGAGAAAGAGTCTCACCATGTAGGTAACATTGTAGCCCAGGCTGACCTTGAACTCACAATTCCTGAGATTTCCTTTCAGTTTTATGCACTTATTTTTTGTTCTTTTCTTATAATGCAAGTTCGTCAGTAATGAATTTTCTCAGTCTTTGCTTATCTAAAAGTATTTCTTTTTCTTCATTTCTGAAGGATTAACCCTTAGTTCTTGTAGGTTTCCATTGTTTCTGGTTTCTTGTTTCCATCAAGAGATCAGTAGTCACAGGATTTATTATTCTCCTGTGTATAATGTGTTAATTTCTTCTGCCTGCTTAAAGAATGTTTTTCAGCATCTCTTTTTGTTTGAGTTGTAGCACTTTGAGTACAAAGTTGGTTCCCCCATCCTTATTCTGCTTGGGGTCAGGGGAGCTTTCTCTAAGATGATACCTTCCCTCCATGAACAGAGGAAGCTTCTGGATTTTTATTTTACTTAATTTTTTTATACCTCTCCTTTTGGAATTCCAAATATCCATACATTGATATGTCACCGATCATTGCAGTTTTATTCATGTTCCTTTGATCTTTATTCTCTTTTGTGTTTCAAGTAGGATAATTTATATTGCTGTCTTCCCGTGCCTTGGCCTTTCTGATCTCCAGTCTACAACTGTGAAGTCTACCTAGTGAAATTTTATTTCTGTCATGATAGTATTTAACTGTAGAATCTCCACTGGTATTTTTTGTGCCTTGCCTCTGATCAGATCCCCTTCTGTTCAGCCGTTGTGTGCATGTTTTCTTTGTCACACTTGAACAGGTTTACAGGGATGACTTTAAAGTCCTGTTTTTTGAAACTGTCACATCTGCGTCATCTGTGGTTGGTTCCTGTTGACTGTTGCTTGTTTTTGTTGTTGTTTTCCAGAGTGTGAGTCATCTGCTCCTGTTCCTTCCCTCCTCAGTGACATTTGATTGCATGCAGGATGTTACAAATGATAGGAGCATTCTGAAGTCTCTTCTGTGCCTCCACATGTTTTCTAACAGTCAGGCAATGTGGTTGGACGTAGATTTCCGGCTCTGTCTCCCCAGCCACGCGTGTCAACTTGAATCTCTGCTTATTTCTTTCAGTTTTTGGTTTCTGTGGTTTCACAGGATCCTCTCAGCATTCTTTTTTACTTCTAAACATGCTAACATTTCTTTGAGCCCAGCATTGCAAGTGTGTTTCCTAGGCAGAGATTGCTCTAAAATTGAGATGATGGGTAAAGAACTAAAATACCTCTTTCAGGAACCCCATTTAGACATCAGGGCTCAGATGTGCACACAGCAGCCTCCAGGGGCTTAGGCCTCTTGTGTCTCAGCAGCTGACTAATACTATGCAGACTGCACAGTTTAGAGATGGTTTTCATAATGCTATTGCTGTACAAATCTTGAGAACTAAATTTCCATGGTAAATTCGTTTTTTAGCAACAGGATCCCTTGTTTAGAAGCCCGTCATCATCACCCCTTGAAGAAAGCCTTGGAAGCTGCCTTCCGCCAGGACCCGAGGAGGAGACACTCAGAACAGGTGTTTATATCTAATTCCTATGATTTTCTGTGAATGCTGTGTTGCTTAGAACCATGTTTGTAAGCGAAATGATACTTGATACAGCAACAGGGAAAATATATTTCTTTGCTTCAGTTTCAATCCTGACTGATCAGTACTGTGTGACTTTAGAGGCAGAATGATATCTTTTACTACCTCAGTTTCCCCCTTTGTAAGTAAGTTAACCTATGAAATGGCAGTCGTGAAAGTTTAAGTGGTGCGGTCCTTTTTAGCCACAGGACAAGTGCAGAGCCAGGTGAGTAAGCATTCAGGTGCACTGTGACTGCTTCCGTGTTGTGCAGTAGTCTCCGCAGTGCAGTGTACTATCTCGGTGGACCTCAGTCCAGATACAACTACATGTGCAAAGTAACACACCCCTCTGACCCACTGAGGGGTTTTTAAAATGAAGGTAATAAGAATATCCAGCCGCAAGGGCAGTTCCGAGCCTTGAAAGAATACACAGCAGAACACTTGGAAGAGTGCCGCGGTGAGCATGTGGTAAACGCAAGGTGCGCGTGGTTAATGGTTCTTAGTGCTGTAACGACAGAAGCTAACCTGCATGGTCATTTCTGGGATTCAGGTGTACCACAGACATGCACTAGGTGCTTGCTGTGTGGTACAAGCTTCTCATTTTGCAGCTGGGAAAAGCTAAAGTACAGAGGTGCTGGGCACCATGCCCAGGGCCAGCCACGAAGCTGCAGTCTGCATATGTGGCTCCAGAGTCCTTGTTATTTCCATGGAGTAAATTGATTAACAGTGCCAAACGGCCCAGTACTGAACTGCACTGGGCTGCTCCCCAAATTGACTATGTAACCGCAGGAATAAGATGACTTTGAAAGTACTGACCTCAGACAAAGACAAATCCATGGCCAAAACAAAGCAACAACACTAGGGCATGGTGACAAAGGTCTGCACTGGGTCCCAGAGCAGGCCCTGTAGTGAGGAGCATTAGTGTTCATGGAGAGTGCAGGTTTATTTCTGCTGTGCATCAGAGGATAGCGGGATCCTAATAACAGCAGCAACTGCATAGAAGCGAAATGGGGTCACTGACCGGTTAAGTGCTGGGCCGGAAGACCACACAGTCTCATGCGCCACCAGCTGAAAATGCCTGGCCCCTAACTTTGTCCCCTATGTGCAGTTACAGTAATTCTCAGTTCTCCCTGCATCTGCTCCTGTACTGCTAATCACTGGAGTAGCATGCAAATGCTTGCTTTCCCCTTCACAGCCAGGCTCCAGCTAAGAACATATACTCTGTTTCCCCAAAAGTAAGACCTATCTGGAATGCTCATATGCTTGTAATATAAGCCCTACCCCAAAAATAAGCCCCAGTGGAAGATCATGAGCCAGACTAACATATTTAGTATGTCTGCTGTGACATACAGCAGACATATTGAAATATAAAATAATAATATATAAATAAATATTGACATAATAAATGATAATATAAATTACAGCATAATTCAATATTTGTAAATACCACAAAGGGCACCTCTAGAAGAAAGGGTAAAGGCCTATGTAAAGAGACGAGCTTGAGACTTACTGCTGCATGACCAATTAGAGCACAGACACATTGAGACTTACTTCCAAATGACCAGTCAGAGCACAGACACATTGAGACGTACTTCCAAATGACCAATCAGAGCACAGACCTGTTGAGACTTACTTCTGAATGACCAGTCAGAGCACAGACATGTTGAGACTTACTTCCAAATGACCAATCAGAGGACAGACACATTGCATGGATACCACGTACACTTCATAATCAGTAGAGGCCATGGTGTCTAACATGAATCTTTTTAACTCAACATCGCATGTATTATATACCCCACGCACTTCATGCTCTTATGTGAAATAAGCATTTTCTGAATTTTGGTGCCTGTAACTTTTCATCACTTTTGTTGCCACTTCTCATAAGTCTTCAGTTAACACCAGATTTAATGATAGATTTAAAGAGAATAAATGTAGAATGTTATGCATTAAAAAAAATGAAAAATCCTCTGAAAATAACCCCTATTGTGTCTTTAGAGCCGAAGTTAATATAAGACTCAGGCTTAGTTTTAGGAAAACATGGTAGGTTTTAGTATTAAATAAATATCGCCATCCGGTTATTTGATTATACCTCAGCAGGCCTCTGGTATGCTTTTTTTTGGAGTAGTTACTCCATTTTAATTATTAAAGTGTTTTTTAAAATAATTAGTTTTCCCAAATGCTTCATTGAATAACCATTTTTACTTTCATAGATCACATTTGAGAAAAACAATTTTAATATGTTTTTCATCCTACTTTACTTTGCAATAAAAAAGATCATAGTCTTCATTTAAAGTAAATTAACTTGTTTTCTAGCTTATTAATTGAGAAGGTTTTAGTGCTGATATTCTTTCTCAAAATAGATCAGAATGGAGAAGTCACTGAAAACTGTAATTCCTGTAAATTAAATGAAAATGAAGAAAAAGCAGTTTTGATAGACTGTGTTGCTCCTGAAATTGAAAAACCCAATGAAAGGGAGGTAGCCATTGATGATCTTGAAGAAGGCAAGGAGAAGGACGGGCCAGGGCTGGAAGAGGACTTCCCAGCTGCTCCCCGGCCGCTGAAATCTCCCAGGACTGTCGGGCCGACCAGCACAACGGCACCTGCACAGGTATTTCTGCAAACTCACGTCTTCACAGTGAGCTTACACCTTGAGATAGAACTTTACAGTAGTTTAGTTTTCATGTTATGTATTTTTACATTGCCTGTGGAAATCTCATCTTTTGATCATGTTATTACATTGTGAAGTCAGTAGGAAAATTTGCAGCAAATAAAACCGAGTATTGCCTGAAGCATGTAATCAAAAGTTATACCTGTAAAGATAGGTTTCTGTGGGACTTCAGATCATAAAAATACAGCTGTGTAGACCAATTTCTGAGGTTTTGAGTTAGTGAGATTTTAATGTAACTTTAGGAGATTTTAATGAAAATCGTTAAGGAATGTTTGTCAGTGTCCATAAACAGGTGGACAGGATCTTTCCTAGAAAGATTATAACTGTAAACCTGAGGAACAGATTTGCATGTGTAGGACTGCTTGTACCAGAGTTAGATTGTACCAGGGTACTTCACCTTTAAAATTTATGCCATAGCATGTTTCATCTCTGTTTTTCTTGAATGTAGCACTTACCTCTTGCAGGTTAGCTCATAGCTTTTTTATTACTAGGGAAAGTGAACAGTGGTAGCTGGAAACTGGCGGTTGAGCAGGGCTTTCCTAATCCAAACCACAGTTAGGTTTTATCAGAATCGACGGGGAAAGTCACCAAGCCACGTTCCAAGTGCATGGCCCTCAGCTGCTGGCCCTGGAGCAGCACTGCTGTCCGCTCAAGGCTGTGTCTCCCCTCGTTCCCCTCCCAGTAGTTCCCACCTGGCGCTCTTGTGCACAGCAAATGAGGCCTCCTCTGTGGGCTCCTCTACCCTAGAAACCCAAACTCCCCCCACAGCACGCTCCCGGTGTACCTGGCCACATGCGCCCCCACTCTCCCCTCATTCACTGCACTTCAGCACGTTGACCTTGAGGGGTTTATTTCAGAATTCTCCATCCTCCAGCTCATCCTCCTCAGCCCTGCTCCTGCGGCAGTCCCCAGCTGGACTTCATCGTGGTAGCCCCTGCCCCGGCTGCTCTGATCACTGTCACTGTCCCCTGTTTCTCTTCATGACTTGTGTTTAGGTAACTGTGGTCTGAGACCCCTCTTTGACATTTGGTGTCCACCTCGCCAGACCCTCATTCATTGATTTGTCCCCAGGGCCTGCTGTGCTTGGCCCCCTCTGGATAGATAAAGTACTGATTTCTGCACGGCTTGGGCTCTGAGCCCAACTCTCACCACTGACTACTGACGGTGAATAACCTGTCTGTGGAATTTTCTGTTTATTAGAAAACAATCGAAGACAGAAACACGAAGAGTAAAAAGTTGACAACTAACAGAGTCTCCAGTGCCTCTGCCAGGTAATGCAGTTATCGGATCACTCCCTTAGGGGTTTGCGCTCTCAGCAAAACTTTCAATTTAAATTCCATAAAACAAATCGCATCTGACTTTACTCTACACGCTCTTCATTTCCGTCTTTAAAACTCCTGACACATGAAAAGTTGTCCCCAGCGTCTTCAGGCTCTGGGCTGACTGACTGACTGACTGTCCAGCGTGGTAGTTACTAACTTGATGAACACCCGCATTGCCTTGGCCATACCGTGGTGAAGGCTGCTGGCTCCAAACCTTCTGAATCCTGCGACTTTTAACCACAGGGAGCAGGACCCACCCAGCTGTCCTGTAATACAGTGCTGTCAGTGTCCTTTTCAAGCTGTCAGGGCAGGTGTGTCCCTGTGGTGGCTGCTCACCTTTGCCCCCGCCGCAGGTGCAGCCAGTGTGCAAACGGCTCCCTCAGCTCAGTGTGCTGAGAGCGCCTGCGGCTCAGTAAATCGCACTCACCACGACGGAGGGCAGACTGATTTTCCCATCAGCCTCAGAAACACAGGGGGCTGTTCCTTCTCACTTTATATTTAGAGTCATCCAAATATCAAAATGATACAGAAACATTAAAAGAGTGAATAAGCAAGGCCCACTGTATTAATCTCACTTTCTTTATGTGATTTGAGATGTAGTACTTCTTAAAAAGACTCTAATTAAAAACACCTAAAATCAACAGTCACTCTAAAGGCATAACATTTAAATTACACTAAACAGGACTTTCATGTAGTAAGGAAGACTACTTTTTACCTGCATCACTTTTTTTGATACCAGGGATCACAACCTCACACTTGCCAGGCAGGCGCCTACACTACTGAGCTAAATCCCCGACCCCCACCTGCATCACTTTCAGTGTGATAATAATTTATCAAATGAAGTTATAATGTTACAATATAGCTCTCAAGTATGCTAGTTTCATATTCCAGCAAGTTAAAAGACTATGTGATTTGTTTGGAACTTCCCAGGTTAATGACTTCTGAGTTTGTGAAGAAACCCAGCTCTGCAAGGAGAACTCCAGGGCCAGCTGCCTCTTCACACTACCTAGGGACTTTGAAAGTCTTGGACCAGAAGCCTTCACAGAAGCAGAACCTGGAGCCTGACCGTGCAGATCACATAAGGGCAGCCGTTTACCAGGTAAAAAGGAAAAGGCTCTTATGGAGACCAGTGACTCATCCCCATGTACTTACAGCTGCAGTTTACCAAAGAGTAAGGTGACTAGAAATGATGGCTCAATCCTTAACTGAACAGAAAGATTTTCCCTTCCAGTGGGTGGAGCTGGTTTACTAGATTTTTTTGCTTCTACACTTTCACAGTTGTTTTTAAGGAGAGAAAATGTGCCAATACAGTCTTTAGAAATACAGCGAAAGCCAAAACATTATGCAATCCGTATATGTTATAACCTCTTTGTCTCTAAGATTTTTATTATTTCTGGGCAAAAAAGGATTTTGAAAACCTTCTTCCCTGTGATCTTATTAGACTCACACAGAAAAAGGCTTTCCTAATGTTTTCATAGTTTCAATAGAACTCTTTTTGTCTTGTTTGCTATAAAAAAATAATACATTTTAGGAAATTATACATTTCTGTTTGAGAGAGAAATGTTAGTATATTTAGCCTTGACATTCAATCTTTGACGTTTATATTCTTACTATTAAAGAAGATCATCCACATATGAGTTTATGCATCTGATTTTCTTAAATAATATATAGATTTATTAGATTATTGTTAGAAAAATGCTAGTATATAAAATGTATAAATTTTATGTTTTCCTTTTAGAAGTTTTAATCAACTATTTCAGAAATAAGTGAGAATTGTAATTCATTTGGGCAGTTTTGAATATCATGTAACCTTTTTCCTGTTCACAGAAGTGGTTAGAAAAGAAAAATGTACATTTACATGAAAAGAACAGAATAAAAAGGATAGAAAGTGAAAATTTAAGGATCCAAAATGAACAGGTATGGAGAAATAAGGAAGTGAATTTCTCAATATTTAACTTTTGTAAATCGGTTGGTTTTGGAGTGGTAAAATAACTTGTATATAAAAGACTTCATTTTTAAAATTCTTTGTAATAGTTTAATGTGTATTTTGAATTGGACATAAATATAACTGAGAACAGAGATACAGAAGATTTTATGTTTCGTGTGTAGAACTTTAGGGCTGACTGGTTATGCTTGTGCCCACCTGACTCACTGCTAGGAATTGACCTCGGGTAGAACCTGGCCTCGGTGTGAAGAATCCGAGAGCTACTCCAGTTTTCTTTTTTTCCCTTGGCCTTGGTTTTGCAGGCGACCCGCCCAGCTCCTTTGGGCTCCTCGCCCCACCCCACCCCTCCCCTCACCCCTGCCCTCCAGTCAGCAATCTGTTCGGTGCTCCTGTGCACCTGCGCCATGCAGCAGGGTAGGGCATTCCTCCGGGATGGGGGGTCTGCGTGTTTCCAGTGCTAAGCAGTGTTTGAGGCCAGTACTACATATTACAAGATTAGACTGAAGTTCAGGAAAATGTCGCACTTGAGGTAGAGTCACCTACATTATTTTCCAGTCCAGCACGGATTTTCAAACTTCAGTATTTATTTGTGAAGTAAGCACTTTATGTGTCAACATTATTCAGACCTGGGAAACAAAAGCTCTGTTCCTTACTGTGTGTCTTTACCAAGTCACCAATAACCTACCTTATAATCTTATAACTTTTTAAATGTTTTCTAAACATTTTACAGTGCCACTTACTGTAGTTTTTTATGATATTTTTAGTAATCTCTGGAAATCATTGTATTATGCTCCTGAATAATGGACCAATAGCTGAAAAACACTTAGAAAAGCTCACTTAAAAGTGTAGTGACTAATATGAATAACATTTTTAAAATAAAGTATGTACTTTAAAATTTGAGTTCTGTGTATAGTGACTGTTGCAGGATTGAGAGTAAATACCTTTGTGTATCTGAGTCTGTTTTTCTGGCTGCTTATGCATGCGTATTTATCGACCTCCTGTTTTCTCCGAACTAGAAAAGAGCTGCCAAGAGAGAAGAAGCGTTAGCATCGTTTGAGGCCTGGAAAGCTATGAAAGAAAAGGAAGCAAAGAAACTGGCTGCCAAAAGGAGGCTGGAGGAAGAACACAAGAGGAAAGCAGAAGAAGAGAACGCACTCCGGAAAGGAGAGGCGCTGCAGGTGGGCAGGGCGGCGACATCGGTCCACCCACCCGAGTGCTGGGCCAGAGTGAATATGAGCCGTTGCTTGCCTGTAATACTCACAGTGAGTAGAAAAAACATGATTCTGTACTTTTCAGGCATTTGAAAAATGGAAAGAGAAAAAGATGGAATATCTTAAAGAGAAAAATAAAAAGGAGAAAGAATATGAAAAAGCAAAGAAACAGAAAGAAGAGGAAACCGTTGCTGAGAAAAAGAAAGAAAACTTAACCGCCGTTGAAAAATGGTAATCCAGACTCGTGTGTTTTGATAGATTTGAAATTAACAACACATGGGTTTTTTTTTTTTTATTTATTTGAGGTTTACTGATACTACTCAATTTGATTACTACCAAAGCTATCTAGGTAGTATTCTCTCTTAACATTTGGGTGTTTTACACTATTCTGTGCAGGAATGAGAAGAAGGAAGCTTTCTTTAAGCAAAAAGAAAAAGAAAAAATAAATGAGAAAAGGAAGGAAGAACTGAAAAGAGCTAAGAAAAATGATAAAGATAAGCAGGCCATCAGTGAATATGGAAAGTGGCTGGTACGTATTACCGCGACTGGCCTGTGTTTTTAATCTACCGCTGTTTGCTCCGCCCATATTTACTGTTTCTCTGGAATCTGTTCCCTCCCTTTATGTGTTTCCTGCTCTCTTTGATGTTCTAACTCTATTACTGTGTCTGCTCCCTCAGTACCCCTTGTTAAATCCCAGGTATAATTTTCCTCCTCCATGCTTTTGTCCCCGCCTGTCACCACTGGCCCTTGTGCCCGGGGACCCATTTCTTGCCTCTCACCTCTTGGAGAGCAGGCCTGTGTACTAATGAGTGTACTGGGTTATTGTCATGACCCACAGGAACACTGAATTTCATGGTGAGAAACTTACTCTATTTTTAATCTTTTTTGGCATTTCTCAAGATAAAGGTCTTAGAGGTGTTTCTTAACGAAAGCAAGTTTGAGATTTGAGTATAAAAATATCCAGCTGGCCTTTACCTTTTACAAAGATGTGGTTGGACAACAGAGTAACTGTTAAAGTGTTTGAAACATGAATTACAGTAAAAGAAATATTGCCATTGATGCCCCTCAAAAATACCCCCACTTCCATGTGGCAGAGCGCGCTTCTCACATCATTCGAGCTTCTGTCCAAAGCCGGTCCATTCCGGAAGTCTGCCTCTGTGCCTCTGCCTCTGTGCCCTGAGTTGATTCTAACCTTTACCTGTCCTGATCTGTTTGACTTTGGGGAAGAGCCAGCAGTTTCACAGCACCAAATCCAATGAATAAGGAAGATGAAGACGCAGTGAAACGTTTTTATGAGCCTGCCTTTTCACTGGATGGCACTGCACAGCTCAATTCACTGTATTTTACCGTACCTCCTAAAGACAACCACAAAAGGAGGTCTTCTAGAACCACTAAAGAAAGTAAAAAAGAGGATGAAAGTGTTTGAAGCAAGGTGGAGTATTTCGAAGGGGATTAGTGGCAATGGATCTTTTACAGTAATACATTTTGCTAAACATTAATTATATATTTTGAGCACACCTTGTATACCTACATGTGGTTTCAATATATTTATATTTACAAAAGTTATTTTGGGTGATGTCCACTAAGATGCAGTTTTCTATGTTAAATATCAATACACATTTGTTAATTTCCGAATGAACAGTACTTTACACAAGCACATAGATAACACACTCATATGAGTAGTTAGCACATTCACCTGACTCGGCAATCTGAAGTTGCCCCTCAGTATACCCAGTTGTCTCTGGTGAGACTCTTTGATATCATGCCTATTTGCTAGTTAAAAATTATCATCCAGGTAGTTTTGATTTGTGTTTCTCTGGTTAGTGTTGAGTTGATCAGCTTTTCATTTGTAAAACACTTCATATTTTTTTTTTCTTCAAACTATCAGTTTGTTAGCTCTCCATCTTTCCATTGAGTTGCTGCTGTTTTTCTTACTGAGTTCCACAAGCTTTTTTGTGTACTAGGAAAGTCAGCCTATTGTTTCTGATACAAGGTACAGATGTATTTTCCCACTCTGGTCACTGACTTCCCAACATTGCTTATAGTGTTTTATGCCATGAAGAACTTAACTTTATTTCTGGGTCTTTTAATGTGGCTTCTAATTGACAGTTATAGTTGAAAAGTTCTGCTCTGTAATTGGAGGTTAATCTCCCATTTTTCTTTAATGACTTTAATATCTTAATGTTTTAACATTTGCTGTACTTAAAATTTATCCTAATGCATGGGGAGAAGTAGTCCAGGTTTATTTTCTAGATCTGTCTTACGAAACAGCCCAGGTTTTACTCATTGGCTTGAGGTGTTGTCTTTATTCAGGGATACATCCGCATTTGGGGTGTGTTTCTTGTGTGTGTATTCTGTTGGACGGTTTAATTATACACATTCCACTACCACACTGTGTCATTGTTAGGTGTCTGTGTCTACATATCTGCTTGAGTCTCTGGCTGTTCTTGTTTATGTTTCCACATAAACTTTGAATCAGCAGTTGCTAAAGAGGTACAGGAAACCAAAATGAGTATTTAAGTGTGACATAAAAGATGAAACACTTAGGCATTATTTTGAGAAATGAACAAGATCAAAATAAAGAAAATTTTAGAACTATCCTGCAGGACTCAAGATAGTAGAACAAAACTCTTAAAACACATAACATTAAATAATGTTACAGAGATATCACTCTTCCTGTAATAACTTCAGGCAATCTAGTGTTATGAGTTGACCATGGTATAGTAATTTCATGCAGAGAAATAGTATAAAAATAAGGTGATCAGAATTGTTCACTGTTTGAATGAAAAAGGTAGTGTTCCATCATGATTTCTTTACCTTATAGTCTGAATGGTTCATTCTAAAAAAAAAAAAAGTTTTCTTATGTTAAGAAGATGTATCCCAGCACTAGTATCAATTAGGGTAATTAAATGTAAAAGAGCTTTCAGTTTTACTTCCACTTTTTTTTTTTTTTGGAAATGGGATAAATTTAGCATCACAGTTAGGTCATACTGTTTTTGTCTGTAGTGCCTAATTAGTCTCTCATTCTTATTACTCCTATGGAGAGAAAAAAACAAGTCACCAAAGCCTAAGACAAAATAGCATGATATGTAGTTAAACTTCTATAATAACGTTACCAGTAAAAATTTAAATGCCCAGCTTAACTACTGATTTAACTCTATCTAGCCAAGTTGAATTATTTTTGCAACAGGATAGCAAAGTTCCCTTCTGGGAGGGTCTAATGACTTCAGAATTTTATGCAGTTATCTAATCATTTCACAATTTTAATGAACTACCTCTAGAGAGCAGGTCAGATCCCTTTCTCCTGCCAGGCCCTGGTTCCTTCAGTTTGCAGTGAGAAAATGAGCAGAAGTGCAGGGACACACACTGGAAGCCTAGCAACTCGCAGGAGGGTCATGGCACCCAAGAGGTTGAGGCCAGCCTGGGGGACGCAGCAAGAGCTTGCCGTGAAAAACAAATAAATAAATCAGGCTGTTCAGTCTTGTACAGTGACAATCAGAAAGACGTCTCAGTGCGCCTTTTAGCTGTTATTAACCTAATGTTGCTGATTTGTTAGTTCTATTGGGGTCAGCAGTTGCTTATGCCCTGCAGGAAGCTTTTCAGCACCCTGCTGCTGAGAGGAAGCTTAGACACGCCTGAGATAGGCTGGAGTAACTGTGAGGCAGGGCAGATCTTGCCCCACCGTGTCATTCTTGGGATGCAGTCACCCATCCACCTACTGGTGAAAGATGCACAGTCGCCCGCAACCCCACAGGGCCCAGCCTCCTGGCCTCCCAGCCTCCGGGTGTCGACGGGTTTGCTGCTGCTGCTGCTCTGTGAGGAAGACAGGGAAGTTACTAACAGACTTCACAGTGTGAGCCGCTGTGTAAGGACGGGGACAACCAGGCTGAGGACAGAGAGACCGAGTGCCGCACCAGCAGACAGCGTGTATACTGAGGTCAGCGTTCAGGTTCCATGCAAGTCTAGGTCCTCGGCCATGTCTCGGAAGGGAAGCTGTGCAGGAAAGAAACGGTTGTGAAATTCACCTGGGATAGTAGAAATGTAAAAATGCAAAGGATATTTTTAAAATAACAGGAAACAGGATGGTTCCTGTCAATAAAATACAAACGTCCCGTCCTCTCCTCCGTGGAGAAGCACTTTCTTGCTCTCTTCAGTATTCCCGTCATGTGGACTCCTAGGAAAAAGCCCGCTCCCTTTGCTGGCACTCTGGTCCAGCTGTGACCCGGGTCCGCCTCTTTGTGGCCACACGCCAGGCAGTGCTGCTCCCTGCTTCCTCCTGCCTGCTGTGTCTACCTCACAAGGCCCACATAGGTGTCATCCACTGCTGCTCTAACCCTGGCTTCTCTGAGCCATGCCTTTGATCTCCCAGCCCTGGTGCGCTGTTCCTGGCTACCAGCCACCCGCTCCGTCTGCCACCAAGTTCAGTCCTACTGGCTTCTGCTGCTGCCCCTGCCAGCACCCCCCAGCTCTGCCTGGGCTCCCCACCACCCCTGCACACCCCACAGGTGGCTTCTCTTACCCTGCAAGCTGCACTGTCCAGTGACTTTCCCTGAATCCACTTTCCTGGGAAGTAAGTGCTCTCCTTTATTCCTCACAGCAGGGTTTTTGTTTTGTTGGTTTGGTTTTGGTTTTCTCATGCTCTATAGAAACTCACACCATTTGGAAGTTCCGTTTTACTCCTTATCTGTCAGTATGAAAGTTGTCTGGGGGACAGGGGCCTTCTCTGTGTCAGAATTTTGTAGTCTGTCATAGCTCAGGACTCAGTGCTTAACAATTGAATGAATGCATAGAAACAAGGCAGTAGAAGGACAGCAGGGCTGTAGGCCAGTAGGGCACCTCAAGACCTGTCACATGGGAGGATGCGACGCGTGGTGAGGTGGTGCAGGTCAGTGGGGGCCCAGGTCTACCACTGGGCTTATTTATGTGACATCTGGACATCAGATCACTTCAGAGTGTTGCCTTACAGCAGAATAAACTGCAAGAATCAATGTGGTAAATGTAAAATGCCGAGAGAAAATAGAATTCACTGCGTATTGAATCTCATGGGAATCAACTTGTTTTTCTAAATGTAGAAGAAATCGTTCCAACTTAACAGAATCGTCCCTGAGTTTAGCCTTGCTGCACATCCGGATAAAAAGTCAGAGTAGCGGCTTGCTGGCGGCTAAGTTCCGACAGCTGCTTCAGAAGCAAAGGTGTTCATAGAGCAGCACTGTGTCTGAGCGCGCACACGTAGTGACCGTGGGGCCTCCTGCAGCTAAGACTCGCTGCATAAATGCCCTTGGGCCCCTGCTGGACTTCAGCACTCACAGGCTGGGCCGCAGCCCCCTGTCCTGATAGGTCACATGGGCACAGCCCAGTGCCTTCCGGTAGAAATTCTGAAAACCCTGGGAGAGAGACTGCTCTTGTGTGACTATGAGTACATGTGTAATAGCCTGCGGGGCTGCACTGTAGCATCGATGGGGTCAAAGTCAGAGTGAGGCGGAAGCAGTGGGAGATGTGGAGGGAGCGGTCTTCTCTCTGAAACACACAGGTGTGCGTGTTTTAATTCTGTTGGTCTTTATACAGTCTGCTGAGGTGGAAGCATGTCTAAGTACATTTTTTAAAGAAGCTAAGAACTAAAAAGATCAAAACATTTGAAGTAAAGATAATTATTTGAAAATTTAAAAATTGCTAAAAATTAAAAACACTGATACTCGGTTAAATGGGCCCAGTAACTCAACAGAAAATGTACAGAATGAGTAAAGACATGTTTGAGAATATTTCTGAAGCTCAGTAATAAGTACAGAAATACTAAGCTGAATTTGCAGCTGTTTGTAAAATATTTGGATTATCCTGTTGGCCTTAGTAGTTTACTTCTGAGAAATTGTTCTCAGAAAGTCATCGTCCACTCATTATTATCTTTCTGTTACAGAGTTGTAGGGCTTTTTGTCCTGTTTTAATTTTAATATTTAAAAGAGGAGGTAACAGTACCAATTGATAGTTTATCTATAAATTAGCAACATTCCTTGGCTATTTCTTCATAAACAACTGCACTAGGAAATAATGCAGAAATGCCCTACAATGGATTATTTTGTGCCTCAGCGAATAACCTGATTTGAAAATAATGCTCACATAGTGTATGTGAATTTATAGTTTTCTATTTTTTTCTTTAGGAAAAGAAAGAAAAGCAGGAAAGAATTGAGCGGAAACATAAGAAGCAGCATTCCTTTTTGGACAATGACGCCCTGCCTCCGTGGAGCCCTCCAAGCAGAGCTGTGTTCTCAAAAGTGTTTTGATAATTTTAGTTCTTGTGTTATTTATCAATTTACCAGTTTTAGCCATCAGTTTAAAAGCCATTTATCCAATCCCTTGTAGTTATAAGAATGTATTGTAAGTAAATTCTAGGCACTTACGCTGACAATGTAAAAAATATTTTGGAATTTAGTTGGGGAAAGTATTTTTGCAACTGTAGATAAACTGCCTCAAGTGAAAAGCTAATCATCAGACCGCACCTGCCATTAAGGCCCATAAAGATTTATTGTGCCCTGGTAACATTCAGAGGGAGGTGATCCATGGTCACTGTGGCTGAACTCTGCATGTTATTGCTGTGTGTTTAATCTCAATTATCAAAGGGGCCTCGCCTGGGTATGCTAATCCGCGCACTGATTCAGCTTGTGCATCAGGGTTTCCCTGAACGGTCCCTGGGTGGGATGTTCCTAATCGAGCTCATGTGCCCTGCACTAGCTACCATGTGGACCGCGGGAGCAGTAGCTCCACAGAACTGTGATGTGCAGGCATTTTATCTAAGAATGTTGCCTTATGCTTTAATGTGAATGCACTTTAACTGTTCAGGCTTAAATGACAATCGTAGTCACTTTATAAGTACCTCACTCCTGAAATTTTTCTGTCTAAATTCACCTCGCTTTGTTTACTATTGCAGTGATACCAAAAGACATCAGTTTCCTGGTAGTGACACCCTGGTACATTAGTTACGCAGATCGCACAGGAGTGGAAGGCATTGTTATGCCCTTTTCTGCTCTAAAGCCATGGGGTCATTATGACAGCACCCTTCCTAACTGACCCCGGGTGTCATGGCTTACACTAGAAGTCAGCTGGACAGGAAAGTACATTTGTAGAAAATACCTGAAGAACCGTTATTTATTTACTTGATCTGTCCATGTCCTTGTATTAACTGGACTCATACTTGACCTGGTCATCTACTTTAAAACAAAACAACTGTCTGCTCTCAGACTTGAAATGCTGCTTCAGTCAGTAGATAGTGGATGAAGAGAAACAGTGCCTCTGTGTCGACCACCTCACTATCTGAGCTGAGTCTTTACGAATTACATCTGTTCAGGGTAGGTGTTATTAGCCGCATTTTGCAGATAGAAACACCAAGAAAACACTCAGAAAAACCAAGTAACTTGCCATACCAGTGATGCACAACAGGGTCTGGACCGGATCTCGCTGACTGTCCGAGTGTGTGCACCTCTTCCTGGAACCTGCTCCCTGGGCTGCAGAGATTCTGTCACCTGTCAGGACCTCTGCATTCATCAACGTGGCAAACATACTGTAATCGCAGAGTCCAAAATCCTGTATTGCTGTCCAGAGATTTCTATCCCAGAAGACACAGCTGCAGCACTAAACCTGTGAGCTGAAATTTCAAGAGTTTGTAAGATTTAAGAAGTTGTACATCTTGCATTGAGTATAGGATGACAGAAAACTCATGAGATTTCAGATGAATTTGAGGAGGCTTCACACAGCCTTTTGCTGCAGTACTTTACAAGATAAGATGTCATAGATTGCTGTAAGATTGTACCGTGGAAATAAGAGGGAGTTCATCGATAAAACTAGAAGCCTTTTTATGCTGCCGGAACTAGGAGAACTCCTCATGCAGTTGCAATGGTTACTAGCGTTAGGCAGCATCCACATAAGATTCCGGAGCTTTCTTAGTACTGTGTATCTCTCAGGGTGCAGAACACAAGGCCTTCCCAGAGAGCTTGTCAGGTGTTTCTTACAGCGAGTTGAATATTCAGAGATAAAAATATTTGCAAATTCCAGAGAAAAAATATTTGCAAATTCCAGAGAAAAACAGGAAAAGATGCAATACTTCTGGGAAAGAGGCCATCAGTGTATCATAGATTTCATGTGATGTACCTAAACTTCCTGATCATTTTCTTCTATGTTATTGTATTGAGTAGCTTGCTATTATTATTAAATTGTGAGAATTGGATGGGTCAATTAAGATGAGAAGGACTTTGACACAACATGATGAGGATTTAATAATCATTGTTATCATTTACATTTCCCTACCTGGTGACAGACCGTGGCCCCCTCCAAAGAAAGAGAAATGCTGGCTTCTGAATTTTGCTTCTGTGGTAAAATGAAGGAGAAATTAAAATGTCTGCGAAGACAGCAATATTGCCCTCCAGTGGGAGCAGGGATTTTTTTGTCCCTCATGATAATGTGTGGCTTCCTCGTCACAGCCGCCCGTGCTCGCCTTGGCGCTGGTTACCTAGTTGAATGAAATCACATCTCCTGGAGCAGGAGTGGAGAGCTGGGTGCAAACTGGTACTGTACAGTTGTTTACCTTCTACAGTCCAGAATCTGAGCTCCAAAGGGGAGAACCAGACCTGGTGACATCCTTGTGAATGTATTTATCTGTTTAGGGGCTGTGGCTTTCCCATATTTCCTTAGACAGTGTAAAATGTCAGTGTAGATATCTGCTCAAGTATTCATTAATTTATAATAGATGTTTCATTCAGATTAAGAACAGTACAATCTTACCTAGTTTTGTAAATTACATGGAGCACTTGAATGCTGAGAGTTGAAAGAAAATACAAATTTTACATATATTTTTAAAGTCAGTGAAAATTCCCTTTGAAGCATATTTGTTGGTAAGTTTAAATATTAATATGAAATGTAATCAAGGCCATCTTATTTATACATGTGCTCCCGTGGTACCAAACAAAGCCTGCCAGGGTAGATTGTTAAGTATCTTATATTGAATTAGGTGTCCAAAGCTAAAAAGATACTTTATCTATATGTGGAAACCTTTACATGATATTAAAGTTACAACAAAGAAAGTGGTAATGTTACATAAATAAAAAGAACCAATATGCCACTTTAGAGCATAAAAAAAGGTTTGTTTTTTTTAAAAAAAATAACTTCATGAAATAACAATATTCTAGAGGTTTATATTTGTGTCATATTTTGAAAATGTTGGTTCATTTTTGGCTTAAATTTTTTCAAAACTAGTATTTCTGTCATCAAAGCACTATGTGACAGTAGTTAGATACCCAGAGTTGCATATTAGTTAGTGTGCTCTAACTACACATCTGAGTGAGATTTTAATGATTTAATAAATCTGGTCAGAACTCTTGTTTATAATAATGAACCAGTTTTCACCAGCTTTTGACTGCTCACACATCAAGCATTAAACTTTGGGATTCACAGGCATACCCTGCCCATTAGTCTAGTTTGGTGAAACATACCTCAAATAATAATAATCTGCCACATCGTAGTTGTTAATTTAACTGGTGGTGGTTCTCACGTCTGTTTTCTTTTCCCTCCACTGCGCCATCCATTGCTGTCCCCCAGATCCAAGCCGTGTGCATGCTGGCACTACTGTTTAAAACGCAGAAAACAGGGAAGTTCCTTAAATCCCAAGTCATGGGTTGGGAAACAGTAGGGAAAAGGACGTTTACAAAAGGGAACAAAGCACACAGTAGCCAGAATTATTCCCAAAATAAGCTTGTACAGAAAACTCCAGGCTTCTGTAGCTTGACTTTGGCTCCCATCTTAATAGTTTAATACATTGAGAGCTATTTAAACCCACATCCTTCCAGTCCACACAAAAGAAATAGATTATCAGCTCTGCAAGTTACACTGGTTCCTGGAATAATAAAATGTTGCATAAATGCTGAACTGAAGGATTCTCTGAGCTATTTTACTTCATAATGTGATCATGTTTTTTTTGGAATATATGTGTTATATGTCATGTATAATGTTGATTTAGGTAGAAAAAATTCTTAGTGTTGGATTAATGATGGTTCAGAAAGTAATGATGAAGGTGTATTTGATGTCTACTTTTAGGTAACATGTTTTCATGTAGTAATTTATTAAACTATTAAACTATTCAAGATTTATTTTGCTGAGTGATACTGTTTGTGGATTGTGTGCCAAAACTTCATTCCATAGTGTTAAGAAATGTGTGGCTTTTCTTTGTGCACTAAAGATAAAATTAAATCATACTGTGTTGGTATACCTTTAATTAAAAACAAAAGGATAGAAAACTAGTTTTTTGCCTGAAATTTGGATAGAAATCTGATTTTTCACTACACAAATTATAAAGATAATTATAAGTGACTTGAAAATGCAAATAAAAGTCACCCATGCTCCCATGTCCCAAACCAGGTTTTTGCTCTCAACAATATATGCGCATTTTTTTGAGAGAAGACCTCACTAAGTTTTTGAGTTGCCCAGACTGATCTAGAGCATGCAGTCCTCCTGCCTCAGCCTCCAAGATGTCACACTGAATCTATTTAACCTATTATTAGATCCTTTGCTTCCTACTAGTGTTTATTACAGTGAATAATATAACAGTAGAATTATTATCCTTATAGCAAATATCCTTAATAAGTGAACATTAATTATAAAATTAAATAAAAATGTGTAATATATTAAAATGCATTCAAACATCTTTTATAGACTCAGAAGATTCATCAGGCCAGGCACCAAAGGACTGAGATAATCACTCAGGAAACAGAACACAGGGGCATTCACCAAGGTGCCTACACCAGGGTAAAGGTGTGGGCTGGGCTCCACCCCCAGCACTGCCCAGAAGGGAAAAAGGAATGCTGTCAGTCATGTTTTGTAAGATCGTAGAAATGCTAAATATTACAAAATTCACAAGACTGAAGGCCTTTCAGACTTCTAGAATTGCAAGGCATAGAATGGGAGTGGTGGTTTATGCATACAGAATTTCACTTTTTGCAACATGAAGTTTTGGATGCTGGAGGCACAGCTTTGTAAATGTACCTAGTATCACTGATCCATATACTTAAAAATAGTTCAGATGGTGAATTCTCTGTGCATTTTCTCGCATTTATACATCCCTAATAGTGACTAATTCTCACTTTTTGCCATTCCTTACAGAGGCTCTCTTCTGCTCTGACCTGGCACACACACTCCCCCACCCCCACCCCATCTCTAGGATTCTTCCCTGATCCAGTTAATCACTAAGAGAATGTGCTGTGCTACTAGACCAAGAGCCAAACTGGATGAGAGAAATGGTTTAACAAACCTTCCGATAATCTTTCCTCTTACATATTTTTGTAGATATTCTTACCCACTTAATTTTTGAGATTAGCTTTAGTTTTTGTTTTGTCTTTTTTGAGACAGGTCTTGCTATGCAGTTCAGGTTAGCCTTCAGCTTGCTTTGTAGCTCAGGCTGGTCTCAAACTTGCAACAATCCTCCTGCCTCAGCCTCTCAAGTGCTGTGCCACCGTGCCCGGCTTAGCTTTAGAGTTCTTTCTAAGTTTTAAAATCAAATCGTATTAGGACTCAGGAGAACTGCAGTAACTATGCACAATAATAAAATCTTTGGGTCTGAAACAAAGTTGATGAGTCCTTAAACGAGGCTGATTCCTGGTTGGTCATACTGCGTGGGCACAGCCACATGACTTTTATTAATGTCAGGAGGCCACGGGAATCCTAGATGTCCTTGGAGAAAAGCCTTCTGTGGCCCTGGCACGCACCCACCCACAGGGAGAGTGAATTGCGCTCCTCTCTGGGTCTCTTCCTCTGTAATCCCTGCTCCTGAAGAGGTCCGTATCGTCAGTGTATGTGTCTGTTTCTCAGTTTGTATCAGGAATCCTTGAGAGCAGGAATTCAGTTTCACACATCTTGATGTTTCTGTTTATTGGTGGACACTGGGTAGATACTCCTTCAGTGACAAAATAACAGATTGTAAGGTAATTGGTAATGAACATCTGTTTACATAAACAAGAGCTGTGTGGTTTGATACAATTCTAAAAATACATATTAAAATACTGTTAAAAATTATGAGTAAATGCTAAACATCAGTTTTTTCAATTCCAAAAAAACTTAACATTTTCAAAACGTAAAATAAATGGGGTGTGTACGTATGTATCCTTGCATTAGGTTGGAAAAGAAAACAAGATCACATATATTCTGATATGCATAACTAGTAGATTGAGCCCGGTGTAGAGAAATGCTCTCTTTCTTGCTGTTTCTGCCTTCTTATCTGGTGTTCCTCTTTCTTGTGGAAGAGAGGGAAAGAAAGAAGGGAGGAAAGAAGGAAAAAAGAAGAATGGGAGGGAAGGGGAGGGAAGGAGAAGGGTTGGGAGGAGAGGGGAGGGAAGAGAGGGAAAAGGAAGAGAAGGGGAGGGAAAAGAAGAAAAAAAGATTCAATAAATAAAACTTCAGACTACAGGTAGGGGACAGGTCAGTGTGACTCAGTGCACTACTACAACAGAAATCAAAATCACCTGCCTAACGTCCAGTGCTTTCCATGGCAGGAAGAGACTAGAAAGGAGGGAAAGGAAGGGAGGGGAAGGGAAGTGAGAGGACAGGGAGGGGAGGAGAGGAAGGGGATGCTAAGGGGAGGGGAGGGAGGGGAGGGCCAATCCTAAACAGAAGCATCTCTTTGGCTGGAACTGAAATTTGGATTAAGTCAGATGCAGACAGTGAAACCAAGCTGTCGCAATTGACGCAGATGAATGGATTGCTCAGTGGCAGGTGGCTGCTGTTATGTGATTTCCCCACCTAGAACGCAGAACTCCACCTTTCAGGCTTGTGAATACCATCTCCTGGCAAATTCTTCCAGGAGCTGCAGGCTCTGCACCCCACAGTGAGCGGCTCCCACCCTCCTCTGCTGTGACCTTCGGGAGATGGTGGTGACAGAAAGGCCCAGTCCCTGCCCACAAGGAATTTATCTTTGGGTCAAGGGAGATAAAAGCCCCATGAATGCATTTATAAATGCAACAATTCTGACTTCCTGTAAGTCCTGTGAGGGCTGTAAAAAATTATAGCATTGGCCAGGGTGTAGAAAGTTTTTTGTGTAGCAGTAAAATCTGGAGAGGTTCCTGTAAAGAAATAAGACAGGAGCTGAGACCTGAGCAGGTAAGAGGCTGCCTGGGCCTTAGAGAGGATGGGTCTTAGCGAGGAGGAGTACGGAGGAAGCAAGACAGAGGTCAGTAAACTGCCCCCTGTCCGGAGACCGGATGCCAAGGTAGGTTTCAGCAGTGTGTGCTACTCTCCATATGGGACATGGGACGGAGGGTTGCAGTGTGGAGACTGCCGTGATCTGAGAAACCCTGCCAAGCTGTTCACATGGCTCTGCGAGGTCTGGACTTTTGCAGGGCTTCCTTTCCAGCCCTGTGGAGGCCTGTCGGTGAGCAGGCCAGGTCTGCATCAGTGCAGAAGGCAGGACTGAATTAGAGATAGGGTTGGGAGGCCAAGCTGGCCGACTTTGGAGCACCACACCACACAGTTCCAAGCAGTCTCAGGCGTCCTGGAGGTGTGGTTAGGGAAGGAGAAGCCCTGTCCCTGGCCCGGGCGCTCCTGAATTGGCACATGCCGCACAGCTGGTGACCCAAGGACTGTGTGGGTCCAGGAGCTCGGGGTCATGCTGTGTCCTGGGAAGTGAGCGAATCCTCTGCCAGCCGCGCCTGCACTGGACACATCACCACTGCCCTGCTGCGGCTGTCTTTTCTCCCACCTTATTCAACACGGACCACTTCAGAACGATGTGACAGGGGTGACAGAGCAGATGTCCCTGCTTTCTATTCCCAGGAGACTGCTGGTCCTCTGCATCTCCTCCCCTCCATGTTTTGCCAGCAACTTTCCAAGGGTTCATATTGATAAATCTACTTGTTGATTTGATCAACATTTGTCAAGCAAAACACAAGCAAATACTGATGCTTATCCAGGGCTAAAAGCTAATTAAGTAATTATTATTAATTACTTATGAGAGGTCAAAAATGCAGTGGCCACTCTGTCCTGGGACAGTCATCCCAGCTCCTCCAAGGAGGCCGCCATGGCTGTGAGATGCTATGGTCTGCTGCCCTCAGAGCCCTGGTGGCAAAGCTGTGGTTCCCAGCTTGGCATGATTGGAGGTGATGTGTACTTTAGGGAGGGCAGTGGAAAGGGTTTAGGTGCCCTCTGGGGTGCACTTTCGGTCTCTTTTGTTCCCTGGTGTGGAGTGAATGAAGGCTTCCCCCAGCCCCCCTCGAGGAGGCCCTGCTGCATAACAGATCCGAGAGAGATGAGGCCTGCTGACCATGGGCCCAAGCGGCAAACCAATAAACCTTCCCTGCTGATGAGTTGGTTATCTTAGGTATTTGTTGTAGTGAAAGAAAACTGACAATTCAGGTTTTTATTTGTCCGAGATATTTTACATATTAAAATCATGTAATTATTTGTCCTTTTCGTTTTTCCAAGTGATAATAACCTATACGTTCTGCATATTGCTTTTGTCTTGGAGATATTTTTCAGATTAATGTGTGTAGAATTATTTCCCTATTCGTAACCATCCACAATGACATAACATGTTATCTATGATACTGTACCATTCCCTTATTAAGGACAATGCATTCCCAATTCTTCGGCTACAGTATCAAATAATAGATCAGACCCATAGGTACACAAACATAGTATTATATTGGTGAATGAGGAAAACTAATCAGTACCTGGTTTTATTTTAAAATGTGAAGAAGCACAGGATTTATATAAGAGGAGAATAAAGTGGGAAGAAGGAAAGAGAAAACCTGCAGACACATGCGTGACCTGCTCTCCCATCCTCGGTAAGCAGCTCGCAGGGCCAGCGGGGGCAGCGGTTGGCGATGGCTGGAGAGGCCACCAGAGAAAACAATTTCCGTTGCTAGGGAGTCTCTGAAAAAGCTCGTGATATTAATCATAAAGTGTACCTGACAGGCTGTTCCTGGAAAATTGCCTTTTGTGTCTGGCTAGACCTTCTGTCCCTATCACTGGCCAGGGCTACACCGCTGCTGCCCTGTGATTTCTCAGAAACAGCATCACAGAGAAAAGGCTCCACTTTCCATTTGAGTGAAAAGTGTCACTGTAATATTCCCGCTCCGGTCTGTAAGGACCCAATTGGTGGGTGTGTGCATCTCAACCAGTAAAACTTCTGCTGTGTAGGGCGGGGACCACACGCAATGAATTAGTAAATATTCTTCTCAACCTCTGAATCGCATATAATTCTATTCTTCTGATACAGACTTGCTTTGGAACACGTGGGGATATTTTCACTTCCAACAAGAAATATGACTGCTCTTTTTCTAGAACATCAACTTTTCTTTGTGATCTGATTTTATAACACATGATTAAAATAATTTGGCTTAGATTTTTTTAGATAATCATACTACTAATTCTATGTTAGTTCATCAAAAAAGCTTGTGCTATCATTGGTTGTTCATTTTTTATGCTTTGATTTTGTAACTTGAGCAACTACTTCTAAGATAATAATGTATAACGTATTAGTGTTGATTTCTTACAGTTATGTTTTTGAAATTCTATATTATTTCTAACCTTTTTTCTGTTTTGCTTTTTAAAAATAAAAAGAATTTTAAAAAATAATTTGGCTTTCTTTCTGCCTCTGCCACAGGGTAACAGTCTGAAGCACCTTGATGTATGCACTGAGGCATCATTCCGGTCCTGAGGGACAAACAGGAGAGGTGCAGCACCCAGGCACTGAGGGGGGGGGCACTCTCCCTCACCAACAGCCAACCGATGACTCAATGGAATTTCCAGTTTGCATGCGTGCCACAAATCATACCAATTAAACAAGAGGAACTTTTTCATTAACGGGGAAATCCAGATGAAACAGTTCCTCACTGCTTCCTGGTTGTGTTTGCTCTGAGACAGTCCCGGCAGATGCTGGGTCACATGCATGAGCCGAAGCATGTGTGAGGGCCACAGGAGTGTCCCTGTCAGGGCGGCCCAAGCCCTGTCGTGTGGTCACCTGGATTGCAAACTGCCTCATATGTGTTCGGGGGACTTCAGCTTTCTACTGTGTCACTCTGCACCGGCAGGTAAGCGATGCATGACAGTTGTCACTGTGCCTCAGCTGTAAAAGCCTCAGAGGTGTGAAATCCATTGGAGCTGCTCCCCAGAGACACTTGCCTGCCAGCAGGGCTCTTCGAGAGCCCTGTGAATCAGGTGATTTCTCAGCTGCCCGTAGCCACGGGGATCCCGGGTGGGGACCAGAGGAGCTTGGCAATGCTTGGCAGCCAGTGGGGCCCCAAGAAAGACAGTTCTGACTGCAGCCCTGCACTGTATCCACAGCCCATGAGCATCTAGCTGCAGGGGATCCCGCTGTCCACTCCGATGCAGAGACGCAGTCTGTGAACTGGACTTCGTGACAGATTTGATAAATTCCACCAAGACAGTAGTCAGTGTGACCTGAGGCTCACTCACTTCGTCACAAGTAATTGTAACATTTAATTGTTCATGAAAGAAAAGTTATGGTTCTTTAAACAGAATTTCACTGGTAAAGTTTTGAAAGTGCGAGATAGATTTTCAGAAATGTTTTATCCATTTATTGATTCTGACAAAATAGATCATCAAGAGCTTTCTGAGAGCTGGGGTTCATAGCTCAGTGACAGAGCTCTCACCTAATATGTTCATTTTAATCCCAAGCTCTATTTTTAAAAAAATTAATATTAAAATTAAAAACATTTGACTTGCTCCATTTCCAATCTGGGCCAGTTCATCCCTCTTTCGGCAATGTGGTGGTTTCCTGCTTGTGGGAGGTCACCATATAGATGTCAAACTGACTGCGGCCACCTGGTCCACAATGTGTTCTGCAGCCCTGAACTCCTGACCTCAAGTCGGGATCCTCCCACCTTATCTCCCAGATGCCACCATGCCTAGAAAAAGGAATTTAAATGTTTTATAAGACTGTCTTTAATTGTCTTGATCAGAATTTTCTATTGATATATAACCTGATGTGAAAAAGTCATGTGCATAGGAAAAAAAACAGATTCAAGGCTTTCATTACACATTTTGAAACATTTGACTTTGAAACTTTGTATATTTATTATTCAGTTTATTCCCAAATAATGGTTATTTTTATTCAGATGAAATATGATCAAATGTGTTAATCGGGCCAGACACAGAACCCCTTTGCATACTCAGCCTTGTGGCTCTGATGGTCTCTCTGATACCCATGCAATCTTAGGAAGGCCAGTGGTCCCTGCCCAGTGACCAGTGCCTCCAGCCTCAGAAGGACAGATCTACAGCTGTGACTCCTCCCAGAACAAAGAGGCACACTCATTGCCTCCATTTAATTTTCAGAGATGGGCAGCAAGGTTTTTGATGCCTTCATTTGTTAAAAGAAATCAGGAAATAGTTAATCTCGCTAAGTAGTGAGCAAGCTTAATTTAAAGACAGAAAGAAAGAGTACTTTTATGAGACAAGAATGATTTTGGCCACTTTCATGATTCAACAAAGAGGCTGAATGTGTCCAGGGCCAGTCTAGTACCTAGCATATCTTAACAGACAGAGCAAAGGTCCTGCCCTAAGTGGCTCATATACGTGTATAATGTATTGTCCGTTGGCTATGAGTGCAGTAACCCAAAAGTGGGTAAAAAGATGGAGCAAGCCTGGCTGCTATGTCAGGACATCAGAGGTCTGGCCAAGTTAAGAGTTCTGAGCAAAAGTCTAAGTGTAAAGGAGAAAATCCTGAGTGCAGGAGGAGTGATATTTGGACCCGGAGGACTCCACAGCACATGACCCAGACTTGTTTTCACCTGCTTCCCCTGCATTCTGGGTGAAGTGGGGGAATGACTTTCAGTAGTATCACGAAAACTTCCAATGAGACTGTTGTCATATTTGGTGATGTGGAAATCAGTAATGACCTAAGAAAGTGAGAAGACCTGAATAGACCGTGACAGAGAAAAAGAGAAGCAACTGGGTTAGATGGAGAGACGACACTTTTAATATGTTTTGTTGATCATGACAGAGAGATGGAGGTAGGGAAATACAGTGGGAGCAGTGGAGGCAAAGACCTTTGCTTTTCAGTGTGGGAGAATTTGTATTTTGCAGCAATCACTGAAGAAGCATGGGACAGGGTTATGTTTGTGTACCTTTGTAAGCGGTACATGTGTGGCATGGAAGAATTCAACTAATTTAGATACAAATTATTTGTATAATTTTGAAAATAACATTAATATTCTCCCCTCTTACCTAGCATCTATCCCATAAGGAAAACATCTTAACAAAGTTAAAATACAGCTTCTGCATGTCATCAAGATGTCTTGATGGTTGTCAAGTTCTTCTGGGTCAATCTTACAACTTTTGAACCCTAGTTTAAAAAAAGTTTACCAGCCATACAGGTTGGCAATAATGAATGTTTACCTGGAATATTTACGAGCAAAAATGGTAAGGCTTTTGATAAACTTAAAATTTGATAAGAAAAATGAGTTTAAATCACACTTATTTATATTAATATGTAATCACATAAATCATATTATACAAATATATCTTCACCTAATTTACATGTTTCAAGAAAAATAAGAGTTTATAAATACTGAATTAACATGTATAATAAACCAAAATTGCCAGAACTGACTGAATGTCTCATTTCACGGTCAAAAAAGAAAGGAAAAGAAAATCACCCTTCAAATATATGATAATTATTACCACACATGAGAGTAAATCTGTCATAAATACACTAAAGAAAATGGTTTCAATATTTTTTGATAAGTCAGAATATTTCATGCTTGTCTGTTTTATTTATGAATCACACAGCAGAGTTGCTTAATTAGAAACTCCTGGTAAGATAAATCAGAAAAAAGTCAATGCATGCTTCATTGCAATAACTCACTCGACCTAAATAAGAATATCATTGCCTGATTAATTAAAAATTAAGATTAAATTAAGTTGAAAGGTAGAAGTCTCGGTTAAATACATCTCAGCACATGGGAGGCATGAGCCCAGGCAACTTTCCATGTAATTCCCATTTTTAAAAATGTTCTGAGTATGTGTGTGTCTGCACATAACGTTTATGTTCCTTGTGTGGAGCTGGCTCGGTGCCTGACACCTCTTAACTCCTCTTTCCATCCCTTCCCTCCCTCTCCCCCAATTCTCTATTCTCCTTCCTTTGTGTGTGTGTTTGCAGTGTGTAATGTTTACACTCCTTGTATGTATTTGGTACACATGTGAGACACAGATTAATTGTTTTTATCAGCACCTTTCTTGCCCCCAACAACCCTCTTTCCATCTCTTGGTCTCCTTTGCCTTTGAGACAGATCTATTTTCCCACTTCCCATTATTGGTTCTTTATTTTGTTCTTTAGAGCTTGGGTTTCTCATGTGAGGGAAACCATGTGATATTTAAGTGTGTGGGGTGACTTATTTCACTTAACATACCTCACAGAATTCCAGGGATGACTTCAGGAGTGCGCCTTCCTTTTCGATTTTATTAAGAAGTTTGAGGAATATTAGTGTTCAAACTTCCTTGAAGCTTTTGTCAGTTCAGCAGTGAACCCATCCGAACCTGGACTTTTCTTAGTTGTTAACTGCATTGCCTGTTATACAAGGTATTAAAAGTTTTTGGTTCAGTTTTGGTAATTCATAATGATGTGGGAAGCTATCCATGTGATCTGAATTCTCCAATGTTTTGGCATGCAGGTTTGCATGTAGTTTTAATGTTTTTTTTTTTCCTTTTTATTTTAGCAGTATCTGGTATGATTTTACCTTTTTCATTTCATTTGCACTGATTTGGGTTTTTCCTTTTTTTTTTTTGTTAGACTGGCTAACAGGTTGTGTATTTTATTTTTTTGCAAAGAACCAACTCTTCTATTTAATGATTCTTTGTGGGGGTTTTTATGAAGTGTCTCAATTTCATTGATTTGTGTTTGATACTTATAACTTCTTTAATTGTACTGGCTTTGAGTTTGGATTGTTCTTGTTTTTCTAGGATCTTAAGGTGTATCATTAAGTTATTTATTTGGGTTTGATCTGCTTTTTGAGATGTGGGTGTTTACAGCTTTAAACTTCCTTGTAAGGCCTGCTTTCACCGTGTCCCGAGTTCTGCTTTGTCGTACAGGCTTCATTTAGTTCTAGAAACTTCCTGCTACTCCTCCATGCAGCCACTCTCATGCTTTATTTCCCTTTGTTAAGTGAAATTCAACATCTCTAGTGAGGACGCTGGTCTCAATGATGATAGCAGCACTGCTGTCTTATTATTTATCTCAGTAAATGCTTGTAAGGCAACTAGTTATCTAATAATAGGTTAAATCAATTGTGGTTTTAGCATCAAAAAGTATTTAATAGCTATAAATGGGCACGGCCCAGCATATCTGCAATCCCTGCAGTCTGGGGGGCTCAGGCAGGAGGACTGAAAATTCAGTCCATGCTACTCAGTGACTTAGTGAGACCCTGGGTCAAAATTCAACAAAAAGAAAACTGGGCTGAGGATCTAGTTTAGTCAAGAATCCTGGGTTCGAGCCTTAGTATCACAAACAAAGAAAATAGGTTCCTAATATATTGAGAGTGGAAACATTTGCTTCCCAAATGTGCAGCTTTCATTTCATTTCCGTGCTACAGATAAAAATACATCATACTATGTTGAGAGACTTTTCATTAGAAATGACGGAAAATTTGGATATAAAACTAATTTTTAGCTTTAGGATATATATGGAGGGAAATAAGCATCTAGACTTTAAAGCTGCTGGCAGCAGGTTTTCTATTACTTGGAACCAAACAGAATTCTAGATAACATCCTTTCATTCTGTTAATATGCCCAGCAAACCATGAATCCGCTGTTTCACGGTCTGAATGCTACAAGGTTTCGGTAGGTGATTCTGTTGCTACAGTCAACAGAGTTTCCCACTTCAGTGGTCTTCATGGAAGAGAAGTTTATCTTTCAGACACCTGAATCTCAGGAAATCAGGCTTGGGGGGTTGGGCTCGCCATGACGATGCTGACACTGAGTCCTGCGGCCAGGGGTCCTGGTCCTGCCTTCTTCTAGCAAGGCCACCATCATCCCCCTGGGAGGGACAGGCAGAGCAGCAGATGTCAGCGAAGAGCTGCACTCACCAGGCCGAGAAGTGGCCACGTTCACCCTTCCACCCAGGCCAGGGTGGGAGCTCCCTGCTGCGGACACCCACGGGCATGGAGGCTGGCTGGGAGCCAAAGGAAAGGCACTGGCTCAGGCCAGTACTCAGCCAGTCTTCCATAAACATTGAGCAGGATAGTCATAGACACTGTGTCTGTCATACTCACCTCTGACTTAGCTAACTACTTGAATTATGTACATATATGTGCACACATGATTATGGAGAAAGATGCACATACACGAATATACACATAAATATCTCAGGGTCTTACTTCATTCTAAGCACTGTGCTAAGTGTTTTGGCAAGCATTTTTCATCGATCCTTTCAAACATCCAGTGAAGTAGAAAGTGTTATTATCATATTTTACTGCATTTAAGTAACTTGCCCAAGAAAACAAAATCAGCTATTGCTGCAGCCCAGAATCTCCCTTTGTTCTGGTGCACAGACCTCTTTTTAAAGTACTTTTGAAACTGTGTTGTGTCTAATGATTATTGTATCGTATCCACTGACAGATTTGATGTCACCTATAGGAAGAGGTTAGATGTCACCTTCCCTCCTAAATATCTCTTTCTTTGTATACTCCCTCACTTTTTTAAAGCTGCAGTAATTATCAGACTTGTTGTAGATGAAACAAGTCTGTTTCTAAGTCTTTGCTTAAATGAGCAATTCACTTTGGATATTTCTTCTTTGTTTGACTATAATTCATAAGAAATGAGGCAATACTTTAACACTATATGGGATCCTCTTACCTTTCTGCTTTCTTCTACCGCTTGAATTTTCTCTGTGTTCTTCTGTGTCCCTCTGGGAACCATTGCCTTAGAAAGAAATGACACTCTCTTTATTCCTGCAAAAGATTCAGCCAAGTGTTCTCTTGATTCCACAAGCTTATAATTCATGCTAATCTGTTACCAGCTCTCGAAAGCAATGTTCCCTCCCACCCAGCTGTCTAACTTAAAAAAAAAATTGACCTTTTGTTTATAAAAACAAAAACAAGACAATTTTTTATACATTAACCTGCAAGAAGTTTCTCTGGCTTATGAAATGTTTGTTATGCAAAATACCAACAAACTCGTTCACACATTGACATTGGTCCCTCATATTCTCAACTCTCTAAAATATAGCACACATTAAGGAACAGCTGTGAAAAGGTGATGACCTTCATTTTATATGGTAAACCACAGAGCACAGAGGAGAATGTGCTTGTATTGTGAAGTGTTTTAGAGGTCTTTGATTAATTTATTCTTCAGGCAATTCAATGAGCTCAGTTAATGTTTTGTTTTGGCTCTATTTGTACATATCTAACTCTAGTAAATGGATACCAAGTAACTTGAAATTCAAGTTATTAATAGGTTTGGATTTGAACTGATACAGTATATTTTAGCCTTTCTGTTTTAATGCTTTTAGTTCATAGGTTACTTTCAAAATTGACTGACAAACAAGATCTAGTGGAATTTTCCAGGATAATTTTTAGTGAGTTTTAAAATTTATACTGATTCTGATCCATAAAAGCATAAACATTGGGCCTATTTATAGGGCATGATGTGGTGAGTTTCAATACATTTGAACTCTGTGTAACGAAGGCTAAATCCAAGTGACATAGCTGTGTCCTCCCTTATCATTGCCTTATAGTAAAAGCATTCGAAATCCTTCCTTTCAACATTTTGATATACATAGCATAGAGTTATTATCTATGTTCATCCTACTGTTTCAAAAATATTTTCTATTGAGGGACACTTGGTACACAGTTAAGTGCTCACATTTAAGTATATCATCCAGGTTGCTGAGAAATACAGTCCCTGCTTTGGACACCCTCGAGGATCATTCTCCCACCCCAAAGAGCTCTCTTTTACCCCTTCTGGGTCCCCTGGTCTGGTTTCTATCATCTCTTTATCAGTGTAATTCAGGTCAGAATTACATGCAAGTGTAAATATGTACATTGCATTTAATCATTTTATGCTTCTCTCACTCAGTGTAACTTTTAGAAATTCACCTATGTCACAGCTTGGTCCTTTTTCTTGCTAATAAGATACTTCTGAGTATTATATGAATGCATAGAATCTATTTTCTGTATTTGTTCATTGTAAATTAAGCTTTTATAAACAACCTTGCTTAGGGTTTTTGTGACCTACACTTTTAGTTCTATTGGGCAAATAACTGTGAGTAAAATCACTAGGTTACACAACAAGTGTCCAGCCATTTAATGAACTGTGCACATATTTTTGGAAGTGATTGTGCATCGCCATCTGTTTCATTAACAGCCATTCTACCTCAGTAACCAGTTTATAACTATTGTCTTGTGGGGTTCTTCTAGCCAGTGTTTTTCCCAGCAAGAGTCATGAGAAATATTTTTTACATTCACTTTGCCCCAACCTAAATATGGATGAGTTTGAATTCTATCATGAATAATCATATTAAAACCAGTTAGCTCACAAAGTGACTATTAACCTGTCATTTCATGCATACCACTGCCTGCACCTGTCATAAATAGAATATTCAAATTACTAATAACATTGTCTATACATAGGGCCTGAAGCAATCAAAATTAACATGGGAGATAATGAATCATCAGTTAATATTTATATGTTTGCCTTTTAACCTGTTGGCAGTTAATGTTAATTAGAGTTCTTGTCACTACCAAGGGCAACATGCATGATCACTTGTGGTATTAATAAGTGGTCATAAAGAATGGCAACTGAATATGAAAGAAACATAAAAGATTATATTGAACATGCAGGGAATTTTGTAAATGTTCTTACTAGTGTTATTTATCAAGAAAATAAAAGCAATATCATTTGAGGGACTTATTTTTTGGCCAGAGGTTTCTATTTAGCATTTTCCATGTTAAATTTATTTTACAGTATAATAAAACAGCCCAGCATGGTGACATATGTCTGCATTCCCAGTACTCAAGAGGCTGAGGTAAAAATATCGCTGCTAGTTTGATGCCAGCCTGGACTACATAGTAAGTTCAGCCTGCACTGCATGGTGAAACCCTACCTCAAAAAGACACACACACAGAGAGATAAAAAGCATCTTAAACATAGAAATATTACACAAATTCTATCAAAGTGTATAATTACATGCTGTGTAATAGTTTATGATTTTGTCAATATATCATTCCAATCAAAATGTCCCCAAAACTACAAATACTAAAATAGGCACTGAGGGTTTTTTTTTTTTTCAAAGAAATAACCTTCAGAGTAATTAAACCTGAGCTCAAAGTTTAATAAAATGCAATGGTGGAAAAGAGTAAGTGTAAGAAACACGGGAATAAAAAAAAAGTTTAAGATAAATATTTGCTTTTTAGTGTCTGGAAAATTTTAAAAGAAGGAAGAAAGAAAGTAAGCCAGGAAGGAGAAAAGGAAAGTGGTGAAGGCAACCGTATGTATGCTGAATTCTTAGCCTTTAAAAAGAAGAAGGGCTGTGGCCCTTACATTTGAGCGACAGTTTTGATAGCTCTAAAAGTGTCGGCCTTTTTTCTTCTTTTGAGAAGACCTTCTAGCGTGGCTTATGATGTTTTAGTGCTGAATACAGCCATGAAGACATTTGGGGCTGGGAAAGAATCTTCTTCTCACATAGGGGATTGTCAGGGCTGAATGTTTGTCATCCCAAAATACTCGTGTCTGAGCTCTGAGCCCTGCGGTGACATCATCTGGAGATGGGATCTTAGGTTCAGATGATGCCGTGATAGGTGGGTTCTCCACGTTCAAAGGCTGCAGTGGTCTCTGGCTTTCTTTCATCTCTGATCCATTCTTTCTCCTCTCAGAGCTTGTTTTATTAGATTGTGCCCACTCAGATAACCCAGCTCGTTTTCCTACATGAAAACTGCTTTCCCGTGGGGTGAGAGAGAAAAAGAAGAGCAACAACAGGAGGAAGGAGAACCGGCCTCTAATGAGGGCACAGGACAGCTGCCGAAGAGAGGGGGTGTGCAGCCTTCTGAAGCGTCAAAACACTGAGCGCATGTGGTGCGCACGGCTTTTATAGCTGGAACTAACAGGGGCGGCCCTAAAGGGGCAGGTGGATGACGTATTGACAGCTGATAGGAGGAGTCTTTGCGCATGCGTGAAAAGCCTGAAGTTTGACTTGTGAGTTTGCGAAAAGAACACAAGGGACTCTGTCCAGTACCAAAGGGAGCTCATACAAGAGGAAAAACATATTAAAAAAAAACCAATTGATTAATAACCTTAATTATAAGCAACACTGTCCCTTGGGCACTCTGCTACCTATTATGCCATGAAAACCTTTTGAGGAATTGTTATTCTGCTCAACAGCCTTATTTCACTTACAGATAAAGGAGCAGACAGTATAGTGAAGTGATTAGTTGCATCAGGAAGCAGAAGGAGAACCAGAACATTTTGTAATCACAAAGTCAAGATTAGGTTCAGGATGGGGAGAGGATGCACATAAATGTGGGGGTCTGTAGTGGCCTTAACCAGGCACTCTACAAAGAAATCTCTGATCCTTCAGGGCTCCCAGCTCCCCACAGCTCCCTCTGCTCGGCAGCTTCTGTCCGTCTCATCCCAATTTACTACCTTTAGGGATCAGCTTAGGGCATCTTCTGCTGAGAAGCCTTTGCTGGCAAGGCCACTATGGGTTAGCTATGTATCTTCAGCTCATCCTGAAACATCTCTATAACTCTATACCCAGGACATAATAAGCTTTTCTAACCTCCTACTGCACTGAAGCTCTGAGAAGAGTAGCTGTCTCTCCTTGATTTTACCTCCAGTTTTCAGCACAGTGCCCTGTCCCTACTACATGGAAGTATTAAAGGGAATACATCAAGTGAGGACCTAGGCTGCAGTGGTACATCAAGGAGTTTCTCCTGATCTCTAACCAGAGGAAGGAGACAGTGGATTCTTTTTTCAGGAGGAGCTAAACCTTGATGAGAAATAGAACAGAATTTACTGTCTCAACAAGTCCCAGTGAGGGTTTGAGTCAAATATTGCACTTATTGCAACCAGAGCTTTGAAAACCAATTACACACATCTTCATGACTTTTAAAGAGAAACTAGACTGAGAGCCTCTGGGCTTGGATTTGAATCATGAGTTTGACTCTTGAAGGCTGGTCCAGACTATGAAATCAAGCCCTGACATCTTCATCAAGCACCTGCTTCCTCACATGGCTTGTAGCAGTGTTTTAAATACTAAAAATTGCTTCAACATACGTAATATTATTACTCTCAGTAATGAATGAGAGTTTGAAGTCATTGTTAGCAGTGGATGGACCTAGGTGTAATGAAATTATCTGAATGAAGTGATCTCTGCAGCTATCTGCACATTAGCATGGCGCCGATTGCTGCCGGGCTTGGATGCTAGGACAGACACATTAGGCTAAACTAATTACTGGAGCTTGGGAAGGCCAGAGTTTCATTTGATCTGAACTGACTCATGAGCAAAACAGTCCTTCCACTTTTCAGATGTATCGTGTCAAGAATTAGAAGGTCAAGGGGTTAGTGACTCAAAAGGAAAGTCTGTGACATCTGCCTCCGGGAGGCTCCTTCCCCACCCCAGAAGCTGTTCTCTAGAATGATCCTCCCATCATGTCCTTCTGGCTCTCCCCAGGGACAAAGCCACAGAATGTCTGCATAAGAAAAAATCAGATCAGTTCACCATCCATCTACTTATGAGAAAACAGAAAAGGTTTTTAATCTGTAACAGTTAGCATCTGGCAGGTTTCACCCAGACTTTTATGATTAGAACCATGGTTCAGGAATTATTTGTTGTTGTTCTTTTTTGATTCTTACAAGTACCCTATACATTTCATGGTCCAGTTAGATCTGAGAAATGTATAGGGAGACTCTGGAGCCACCCAGAA